CTGAGGTCAGGAGTTCAAGATCAGCCTGGCCAACATGGTGAAATCCTGTCTCTACTAAAAATACAAAATTAGCTGGGCATGGTGACTGGCACCTGTAATCCCAGCTACTTGGGAGGCTGAGGCAGAAGAGTCGCTTGAACTCAGGAGGTGGAGGTTGCATTGAGCTGAGATCATGCCCTTGGACTGCAGCCTGGGTGACAAGAAGGAAACTCCATCTCAAAAACAAAAAGGAGTTGCAGTAAAGAAAGAGTTTAATGTGTGCAGAGCTGGCTAAATGTGAAACCGGAATTTTACTACTCAAGTCAGTCTCCCCAAAAATTTGAAGACTAGGGTTTTTTAAGGATAATTTGGTGGGTAGGGGGCTGGGGAGCAGGGAGTGCTGATTGATCGGGTCAGATGAAATTATAGGGGCTCAAACAGGTTCTTCTTGCTGTCTTCTGTTCCTGGGTGGCGTTACAGAACTACTTGTGCCAGATTACTGGTCTAGGTGGCACCAGCTGGTCTATCAGAATGGAGGGTCTGAAAAATATCTCAAATACCAATCTTAGGTTTTACAGTAGTGATGTTATCCAGAGGAGCAGTTGAGGAGGTTGGGGATCTTGTGGCCTCTGCCTGCGTGACTCCTAAACCATAATTTCTAATCTTGTGGCTAATTTGTTAGTTTTATAAAGACAGTCTGGTCCATAGTGCAGGAGGGGTTTTGTTTCAGGAAAGAGCTGCTATCATCTTTGTTTCAAAGTTGAACTATAAACTGAATTTCTCCTACAGTTAGTTTGGCTATGCCCAGGAATGAACAAGGGCAGTTTAGAGATTAGAAGCAAGATAAATCAGATATCTTTCATTGTCATAATTTGCTCACTGTTGTAATTTTTGCAAAGGTGGTTTTATAATGACACAAATGGAGCATCTTTCCCTACAAAATATATGCTCTTAACCACATTAGACAGTAGAATGCCTCCCTGTCTCACCTCTCCTCTGTGTACAATTTACATAGGTATAAGTTCCAGCACATGTTGGGGACTTTAATGGTTTTTCTAGCTAGCAAGTGCTCAAGTCAGATGCCTGGGCCTCTAAACTCTTCTGTTTCAGGGGTCTCAAACACAACTGTACCTACAGGCCAGGGAAGTAATGAGAATGAGCGAGGCTGGGCATGTCTGAAGGAAATGGGAACAGTAGGAACAGTGGGCCTATCTAAAGGGGCAGCACTTTCTCCCACCCAGCATCTCGTTGCCTGGTGGAATTGTGTGCCCATCATGGCCAGGGTCTCTCACTGTCATAAGTTAAGTTGGCAATGTGGATTTTTATGTGAAATTGTCCAGCTCTAAATATTGGCAACTAATTAAAAAATGTGTTCAGAACACACCTGAAGACCTGGCTGGGTGCAGTGGCTCACACCTATAATCCCAGCACTTTGGGAGGCTGAGGCGGGCAGATCACCTGAGCCCAGGAGTTTGAGGCCAGCCCGGGCAGCATGGTGAAACAAAATATGCAAAAAACACAAAAATTAGCCAGGTGTGGTTGTATACACCTGTAGTTTTCGCTAGTCAGGTGGCTGACGCAGGAGGATTGCTTGGGGCCAGGAAGTCAAGGCTGCAATGAGCCTTGATCGTGCCACTGTACTCCAGCCTGGGTGACAAAAACAAAAACACAACTGAAGATCGATTCTGCCCCCACCTTCCTTCCCTTGCAGCCCTATTGGTGACATTCCTCTCCGCCCTGCTAATCACCTTTGGAGGAGACACACAGTAAGGGTTCAGGAAATATTGCTAGGAAAGAGAAGCTGGCTTTTTCCTCTGCCCTGGTCTCTTGATTTGAGACCAGAACTTCAATTTCATTCAACAGATTGGATTCAATATTTGCCAAAACCATGCTCAAAATATGGTATAGAAAAGGTTTTTGGAAGATATTTTATTTTTCAGTGTACTTTAGTACTGTCCTCCTGTTCACTTAGTGAATCATGTGATCTTATTCTGTGTACCTCACTTGTCTCCCAAAGAGAAGTAATTATTGATGTCTTCACTAACCTTTTGCAATAACTTTTCTTTTTTTTGAGACAGAGTCTTGCTCTGTTGCCCAGGTTGGAGTGCAATGGCATGATCTCGGCTTACTGCAAACTCCGCCTCCTGGGTTCAAGTGATTCTCCTGCCTCAGCCTCCCAAGTAGCTGGGATTACAGGCGCCCACCACCACGCCTGGCTAATTTTTTATTTTTAGTAGAGACAGAGCTTTACCATATTGGTCAGGCTGGTCTCGAACTCCTGACCTCAGGTATCCACCTGCCTTGGCCTCCCAAAGTGCTGGGGTTACAGGCATGAGCCACTGCGCCTTGCCTGAAAAACCTTTTCATGGAGAAAATTATGTAAGAATTTTTAAAAAGCTGGTAAGACATATAGCAGATGCTGGGCCATGTTGGTTCACATTTATAATCCCAGCACTTTGGGAAACCAAAGCTGGAGGATCACTTAAGCTCAGGAGTCTGAGAACAGCCTGAGTAATATAGCAAGACCCCATCTCTACAAAAATTAGCCTAGCTTGCTGGTGTGTCCTGTAGTCCCAGCTACTTGGGAAGCCAAGGTGGAAGGATTGCTTGAGCCTGGGAGTTTGAAAATGCAGTGAGCCAAGATAGTGCCACTGCACGCTGGCATGGGCGACAGGGTGAGACCCTTCCTCAAAACAAACAAAAGATACAGGGAAGACCATTGCATGACATGTCCGGTATATTTGGATCTTCAGATTGCTGTACTTCATCATTTGTGTACCTAAAATTCAATTAATGATGCAATAAACTGTAAAAATTATTAATAGGGATGGTATAGAAGGCTTTCATGTTGCTGTGTTAGTTTCATTATGTACAGCCATTCCCAGGGTCTGATCAGATGGAAGAAATGGAGAACTAACATGCCTTGGCAAATTAAAGGCAAAAGAAAAATCAACACAACCCAAGGTGGTATCTGGGCCAGGTGCAGTGACCCAATCGCCTGTAATCCCATCACTTTGGGAGGCTGAGGTGGGTGGATCTCTTGAGCTCAGAAGTAGCTCAGGAGTTCAAGACAAACTTGAGAAACATGGCAAAACCCCATCTCTACAAAAAAAAAACAAAACAAAACCAAAAAACAACAAAAACAACTTAGCCTGGCGGCCAGGTGTGGTGGCTCATGCCTGTAATCCCAACACTTTGGGAAGCCGAGGTGTTGGATCACAAGGGTAGGAGTTGGAAACCAGCCTGGCCGATATGGTGAAACCCCATCTCTACTAAAAATACAAAAATTACCTGGGCATGGTGGCACATGCCTGTGGTCCCAGCTACTTGGGAGGCTGATGCAGGAGAATTGCTCGAACCTAGGAGGCAGAGGTTGCAGTGAGCTGAGATCGCTCCACTGCACTCCAACTTGGGCAACAGAGTGAGACTTTGTCTCAAAAAAAAAAAAAAAAATTAGTCTGGCATGGTAGTGCATGCCTGTAGTCCCAGCTATGCAGGAGATCAAGGTAAGAGGACGGCTTGAGCCCAGGAGGCAGACATTGCAGCGAGCCAAGATTGTGCCACTGCACTCCAGCCTGGGTGACAGAGTAAGACCCTGTTTTAAAAACAACAGCAACAACAACAACTTATCAATGTTTTGCCTATAATATATTGGTAGTAATTTGTGCGTGTGTGTGTGTGTGTGTGTGCATGTGTATGCATGTGTGTGTTGAGACAGAGTCTCAGTCTGTCCTCAAGGCTGGAGTGCGGTGGTGTGATCTCAGCTCACTGAAACCTCTGCCTCCCGGGTTCAGTGATTCTCCTGCCTCAGCCTCCTGGGTAGCCGGAACTATAGGCGCTGGACACCACACCTGGCTAATTTTTTTGTGGTTTTAGTAGAGACGGACTTTCACCATGTTGGTGAGGATGGTCTCAAATTCCTGACCTCAGATGATCCACCTGCCTCAGCCTCCCAAAGTGCTGGGATTACGGGCATAAGCCACTGTGCCCAGCTGTGTGTTTTTTCAGTTGACATATTTGTATATACTTACCGGGTACACTGTGATCTTTTGATATATGTATGCATTGTGGAATGATTATATCAAGCAATAAAAATATCCAGCCAGGCGCAGTGGCTCATGCCTGTAATCCCAGCACTTTGGGAGGCTGAGGTAGGCAGATCATGAGATCAAGAGATTGAGACCAGCCTGGCCAACATGGTGAAAACCTATCTCTACTAAAACTACAAAAATTAATTGGGCGTGGGGGTGTGAGCCTGTAGATCCAGCTACTCCGGAGGCTGAAGCAGGAGAATCCCTTGAACCCAGGAGGTGGAGGTTACAGTAAGACAAGATGGCACCATTGCACTCCAGCCTCGTGACAAAGTGAGATTCCATCTCAAAAAAAAAAGAAAACATGCCTCACCTCACATACTTACCATTTTTTTTGTAGTGAGCAAATCTGTTACTCTTTTAGTAATTTTGAAATGTGCAATACATTATTATCAACTATGATCACCATGCTGTGCAATAAATCTTGAAAACATATTCCTCCGAACTGAAGCTCTGGACCTTTGGACCAACATCTCCCAGGTGATCATTTTTGACATGCAAATTACCTCTTCCATTTCAATGAAAGGGAAAGCAACACTAGTATCTTCAAAAATTGAAAAGCAAACTGTGCATAAAAAAAGAAAGATCCTTTTGTCCCCATATTTCAGTATTACGAGGTCATGTTGGATAAATATTCTGAGAGAAATTTGTGTTTTATTGCACACAAAACTGTACACAATAATATAGAATATAAGATTAAGAATTGGCCTTTAACAATTGTTTGTAGCTTGTGATGTGGTTAAATCTTGATGTCGTTTGTTCTTGTCCTTATATGTGCATTGACTGCATGAAAATCAAATTTATAAACACTTGTATGTAATTCAGTGTGATCCATTTAAGACAGGTCACATGGAGGGTCCACTGGAGATTTGGCCTTTCACCCCACAGCACAAATAACTCTTCCCTGAATTGTTGGATATGCCATTTTAGTGATCAAGGGAGGACCCCTGGAGCACAACTACCGATTGAAGCAGTTCCATTTTCACTGGGGAGCCATCGATGCCTGGGGCTCGGAGCACACTGTGGACAGCAAATGCTTCCCAGCAGAGGTATGTTGAGAAGGTCAGGAACAGTGACAACGGAAGAGAAGTGGGGAGAATTCTGAAGCTGTAGTTGTAACAAATTATCAGAAAGAATCAGGTGATTCCTATAAATGCTAAATAGTTTCCTCAGGCAATTTTGATCATTCTCAGCTAAGACATGTAACCTTTAACTTGTTACATGTAATGTAACATGTTAACATGTAACATTAAGTTAACATTTAACTTCTCTCATCTCAAATAATATAGCTGAAATGAACCTTAGGACCCTGAAACTGAATTCTTCTGGAAATCGAAGGTGGACTCAAATAGTAGCCCAAAGTAATTACCTAGGGAATGTTGTGGAGCCACAGGTTGAATTAAAGCAAGTTTGCGATGGTGGGAGCCTAAATGAAGGCTGTGGCAATAGAAGTAGAAAAAAAGATACAGATTTATCAAGCATTTCTGAAATTAAAGCAACAGTACCTTAGGTAGTGTTCTCTTCAGGATAGGATAAGGAGAAATTAACCATGACTTTGTGGTGTCTCACTTGGCAGGCTGGGTGATAATGCATTCATAACTGATGGATGAGGAATGATTTGTAGGGAAATAAAGGGAGATTTTAAGGAAATATAATTTCTTCTTATAACTTTTTTCCTAATTTAGTTGTAAATGTGATGTTAAAAATAAAAGCACATTTTAAAATTTATTTTATATTTATTTTGTTTTGTGAGACAGGGTCTCACTGTATCACCCAGGCTGGAGTGCAGTGGCACAATCACAGCTCACTGCAGCCTCTATCTTAAGCAATCCTTCCATCTCAGCCTCCCATAGCTGAGACTGTAGGCACGCACCACCATGCCCTGCTGATTTTAAAATTTTTTTGTAGAGAGACAGGGTTTCACTATATTTTCCAGGCTGGTCTCTAACTCCTGGGTTCAAGTGATTCTCCCACCTCGGCCTCCCAAAATTCTGAGATTACAGGTGTGAGCCACCACACCTAGCCTAAAAATACATTTTATTTTATTTTTATTTATTTATTTATTTATTTATTCAGACAGAGTCTTGCTCTGTCACCAGGTTGGAGTGCAGTGGTACGATCTCAGTTCACTGCAGCCTCCACCTTCTGGGTTCAAGCAGTTCTCCTGCCTCAGCCTCCCAAGTAGCTGGGACTACAGGTGTGCGCCACCACGCCCAGCTAATTTTTGTGTTTTTAGTAGAGACGGGGTTTCACCCTGTTGGCCAGGATGGTCTCAATCTCTTGACCTTGTGATTCGCCCGACTTTGTCCCCCAAAGTGCTAGGATTACAGGCGTGAGCCACAGTGCCCAGCCAAAGCACATTTTAAATGGTTATTCCTTGAAGAAGAAATTTGTCTTTAACTCCTGCATAATTTTCATAGGGAGGATCTGTTTCTCTCAATATAAACATCTCTGCTATAGATGCAAGTGGATTTTGAATATTGGTATTTCATGCAAATCAAGATGGAACTGGACAAATGTTAATTGCTCACTGAAGTGTCACTTTGCTATAAGAATTTTCTATTTTTCTCCCCAAATAAATCCCTTTATTCTAAAACAAAATTAATTGCTGCTCTTGCCTAAATTTCTCCCTGATCTTTGTTTCTATCTCATCTTGCACCAGATTGTCATATGCTTTTCTTGGTGGCTTTACTTTGGGTGAGAAAACATGTTTAAATGTCATAGGTTGACTGAGGCTGTGGGTTTATTCTAGAGAGATCTGTGTAGTCATGTGTTAACCCTCTTTTCATCGTGTTTCAGCTGCACTTAGTGCATTGGAATGCAGTCAAATTTGAAAACTTTGAGGATGCAGCACTGGAAGAAAATGGTTTGGCTGTGATAGGAGTATTTTTAAAGGTAAAAAAAAATTTCACCAACTTTAAATGATGTGTTGTATTCTAGAATGAAAAGATGGAACATTATAATATTATTATATCCTTTAAGAATATTGGGATCCATACACTGGTAAGATAAATAGTACTTGAAATACGGGATTGTTAAGAATATATTTTAGGTCCAGGCACGGTGGCTCATGCCTGTAATCCCAGCACATTGGAAGGCCAAGGAGGGCAGATCATTTGAGGTCAGGAGTTCGAGACCAGGCGGGCCAATGTGGGGAAACCCTGTTTCTACTAAAAATACAAAAATTAGCTGGCCATGGTGGTGCACACCTGTCATCCCAGCTACTCGAGAGGCTGAGGCAGGAGGATTGCTTGAGGCTGGGAGGCGGAGGCTGCAGTGAGCCAAAATTGTGTCACTGCACTCCAACCTGGGTGACATAGCAAGACTCCATTCCCCCGACCAAAAGAATATAATTTAAATGGTATAAAAATGCACAGTCCAACAGAGTGGTCACAATCCACATGTGGTAACTGAGCACTTGAAGTTTGTCTAACTGCAATTGTGGAACTATTTTTTATTTTATTTAATTTTAATTTCAATTTAAGAACTGATACTTAAATGAAGCAGGGGGCACCTTTCTCTGCAGCCTGCTGACCTTGTCAGCAAACAGCCTGCTCATTTATTCTCTAATTTAATTCAGCGAGGTTTATAAAATTATAAATTACAAGTTTAAGTGTAGTTTCAGTCATGCAGTTTGTTTTTATGTAATCACCAGGTGGTTAATTTTAATTCACATTCTGTCACAGTTTCTACAGTGAGATGTCCATTGTTTGTAATATTTTCTTATTTGTTGTTCTTTAGCTAGGCAAATATCATAAAGAGCTACAGAAATTAGTGGATACTTTGCCATCAATTAAACACAAGGTACTATTTGTTTTCCTTAATTACTTGAAATATACTTTTATGTTTCAATCTCAGAGCAGAGACATACCAAGGCACTTGAATTGGGAAGTTTAATTAAGTGAACTGTATTCAGCCTTAGAAGAAAACTTGCCATTTATGATTCCAGGGGACAGAAGTAGTAATTCTGTGGATAGGCAGTGAGCTTTCTGGTTTTGCTGCAGTGCCACTGAGGACTTGGGCCTCAGGGGCATATGGCTGTCCCCTCCTCTGTTCCCGACACTGGCTCCTTCTAAGTCCTTGTGAACACACTCAGAGCAGCCTTTTCTCTAGCTGCCCTCCCAAAGGCAGGGAGCAGAGAGCAGTTCTACAGAAACTTGCTTTGTCCAGCTGGAAAGAACAGTAATCCACATCCTTAAGGTCAGATGCCTTTGTCTAGTCCCCAAGATTAATTCTTCAATATTCAGATTCTCAAAGGGCTGCTCTCTGGAGGCCCATATATTCTCTCCCTCTCCCTCTCCCTCTCATCCCTCACTGTATCCCTATGGTCCCCACCTCTTTCCCTCTCCTTTCCTCTCTGGAAGCCCATATATTATTTCTCCCCGTCCCCCACTCTCTCCTTCCAGTCCCTACCTCTTTCCCTCTCCTTTCCTCTCTATTTCCCTTTTTCTCTCTCTTGCCTTTTAGTTCAGGATTCTGGCTCCTCCTGATCTGCATTTCTTCTTAAAAGGACAATTCTCGGTTAGCCTCTCTTGAAAATGCAAAGCCTCCTTCTTTATGCATTGGCCACTGTCTAAAACCTCCTAAGAAAATTCAGAGGAAACTACCTGCTGGATCCTCACTAGAATTGAGAGATCAGATGGGTTTGGCTGTTTTCCCACTGGAGAATTTAAAAAATACACAGTTAATTGCAGAAACAAAGCCTGGGCATGATTCCATCCTAAGCAGCAATGCTTCAGGAAGCTGCCTAGAAGGGCCTGGAGCTCCTCTGGACTACTGCCGATCCCCAGACACTCCCTGAGAACCATCACCTGTTGTCTGATTCCTGAGTGGTTTTCACCACTAAATAATGACTTAGTTATCTCTTCCTTGGCCAGGACACCCTTGTGGAATTTGGATCATTTGACCCTTCCTGCCTGATGCCTACCTGCCCAGATTACTGGACCTACTCAGGGTCTCTGACTACTCCACCCCTTTCTGAGTCTGTCACCTGGATCATTAAGAAGCAGCCAGTAGAGGTTGATCATGATCAGGTACGTTCTCTCCACAATTTCAATCTAAGGAAATCTTTGCCCATTTAAAACAAGGCTGGGTTCAGACTGTGGCATCAGTTTTAACATCTTGTGATGCCTATACATTTTTATTAAAGTGTACCAATATCTTGTCTCAGTTTGGATATGAATTTGGGGATGTTTCAAATTAACTAGAGAGAGGAGTTAAAACACAGAAGAACAAAAGCTTTTTACATCTATATTTGACAGTTACATATGTCTTCTTATGCCTTTTGTATTTTATATATAAATATTAAACTCTATACAAAATCAAGACTCTTTTAAAGGGAAGAATGAAGGCTGGAAATAAATGTGTTCAAAACTCTTTAAAATCCTTAAGGGAGTTCTGTAGAATCTCAGGATAAATATAGAATCTAGCAATGTTTGTCCAGAAACTTTAATTTAAGTCAGTTTTCTGAACTTGTAGTTACTATGCAAATACTCAAAATCCTGTATAATGTCTAATATAACTAAACTACAATACTATTTGCTCATACTTGCCTTATGGGATTTTTATTGACTACAAAGCATTTTCATAAGAACAAAACTTCCAAATTCTTTTTATGAAGCCAGCATACCTGATACACACTCACCAAAGATTGGACCCCCCTCTGAAGAATATATTTTAAAAAAAGCTAAAAAGAAAATATTAGAAACAGAATCCAGCAGTACATCAGAAGAAATATATACTTTGTCCAAGTAGCTTTTACTCCAGTGATACACGAATGGTTCATTTTTAAGAATGATATTAATATAATTTATTGTATCAGTGGATCTAAATAGAAAAATCATATTATCATTTCCAGGGAAGTTAAAAAGACATTTGTAAAAATCACCATTCAGTGTTTGGAAATTTTTAATAAAACAGAGCTGAATAGAGACTTTCCTATCTTAATAAAAGAGATTGATCTCAGTTCAAAAGTAAATAGTAGGTTTTGTATGGAAAGGATTATTACATATTAAGTTTTATATTAAATTACATTCTGGAAGTAGCCAGTACAGTTAGACCAGAAAATAAAAAATAAATTAGAGAAACAATAAAAAACTACTACAAAAATCAGAGATAATTCAGTAATCAGTGGAGTACAATATTAATTTCAACAAGGAAGGTTAATAAAAAAAATGTAAAATGTTCCTGGAGGATACAAAGAAGTTTTGAATTAATAAAGTTAACACATTACAGGATCAAAAGACATCATAAAGACACCTTTTTGTCATAAATGACAGCCTAATTTGTCATTCTCCATGAATTGTTTATTCACCATAAATTTAATGTGTTTCCAATAAATATACCAATAGGATTTTAAAGTCAATATGCTATTTCTAAACTCATGAATAAAGACAAACACATAAATAACCAGGGAAAATCCTAGAAAAGGAAATAAGGGATGATTAGACTCACAAGGTTATAAAGCCTCAATAATTAAATAGCATGTTATTGGCACATGGTTAAAGAGATCAATCAAGAGAAGTATATTAGTCAGAGTTCTTCAGAGAAACAGAACCAATAAGATAGATATTGTATTAGTCCATTTTCACACTGCTACAAAAAACTACCTGAAACTGGGTAATTTATGAAGAAAGGAGATTTAATTGACTCGTAGTTCCACAGGCTTAACAGGAAGCATGACTGGGAGGCCTCAGGAAACAAAATCGTGGCAAAAGGCAAAAGGGAAGCAAGGACCTTCTTCACATGGTGGCAGAAGAGCGAGGGAGGGATGGGGGAAGTGCCACACACTTTTAAACCATCAGATCTTGTGAGAACTTTCACTATCACAAGAATGGTAAGGAGGAAGTCCACCCCCATGATCCAGTCACCTCTCACCAGGCCCCTCCCCTGACATGGGGTGGAGGGGATTACAATTTGACATGAGATTTGGGTAGGGACACAGGGCCAAACCATATCAGATATAAAGATAAATTAAAAAAAAAAGAAAGAAAAAGTTAAAGTTAGATAAATAACCCTAAAAAGGTTAAATAACCTTAACCCTATAACCCTATAAAGATAAATAAAGGAAAAGTTAGATAAAGATAAGGAAAAAGTTTTATCATAAGGTATTGGCCATGTGATTATGGAGACTCAGAAGTCTTACGATCTGCAGTCTGCAAGCTGCAGACCCAAGAAAGACAGTGGTGTAGTTCAAAGGCCTGAGAGCTGGAGAGCTGATAATGTAGATTTCTATCTTGGTCTGAAGGCCTGAGAACCAGGACCTCCAAAGGTAGGAGACGACTGATGGTCCAGCTCAAGTATTCAGAGCAAATGCAACCTTCCTCTGCCTTTTTATTCTATTCAGACCCTCAGTGTATATTAGATGATTCCCATCCACTTTGAGGAGGGCCGTTTACTCAGTCCACCTGTTCAAATCCTAATCTCCTCCACCTGTTCAAATCCTAATCTCCTCCGGAAACACATTCATAGACATAGCATTTAACCTGTCTGTGTATCCTATGGCCCAGTCAAGTTAACACATAAAATTAACCATCACAGGAAGAAAATGATAATTTCAGAAATATGTCCAATTAAATTTGATAAATATAGCATCTCAACTCAGTAGGCAGAGTATTCAGTAAATGCTGTTGAAGAAAAATTGAGCAGACATTTGGGGATAAAAATTGGATCCACCATTCAGACCTTCTACAAGAATACATTCCAGATACATTATATGTAAAAACTATCACTATAAAAGTACTAGGATAAGCACAGGAAAATCCTTTTATACCTGCAAATGTGTAGGCTTTGTGGCCTATACATTTAGTCTGTTTCTATTCTTTGGATTAAAAAATTGACACATTTTCTTGACTTATATTCCTTCTAGAAAAACAAATGAACATAACATTGCAAAATAAATAAAGTAAATACATCACAGGGTCAGTGGCCCATGTGAGGATTTTGCAAATAAAATTTCAACAAAACTTTAAAATTTATTTTTCAATTATATAATTTCAAATTTTATTTTTTATTTTCTGGTCTAACTGTATTGGCTATTTCCAGAATGTAATTTAATATGAAAGTTATGATAACAGAAAATTTAGTAAGGAAAACAATGCTACCTGTCATCTATAATATTATCCTATTGCCTATAATTTTACCACTATCATTGTTTGGGGAAAGCCTTCTGGTCTCCTGTCTATCCAGATGCACATGAATCCTTCTGGTCACACACACACACACACACACACACACACACACACACACAGAGTTTTTATATGAAAATGGAATCATTCTGTACATACCATTTTGCTGCTCTTTTCACTCAGTAATGCACGGAACATTTTATAGAGAATGAACATCTTCAGTATTATTTTTGAGGACTATATACTTGTTCATTTCATAGATCAGATGTCATTTATCTTTGATATTTAGGCTATTTCTAATCTTCTGCAATTAGCTGAATAAGAAGAAACATTACATGTATAGCTTCCTAATTAGTGAGAGCTTATGTGTAATTTGCAAGTACAGCCACTGTGTGATACGTGCATTGCTTGCTTTCAGTCCTAGTCCAGCCTCTTCAGCTCTACTTGGCCTGAAGTCTTTGTTGCAAATGACCCTTCACTTGCTTGTCTGCTGTGCCCCAGGCTGTATTCTCAGTTGTTACAATGAGGCAGATTGAATGAGGGGGAATGTAGTGAATGGATTTTCCTACAGGCCTGAAGTAAAGTATTTCTTTCTCCCAGCCTACCCTCACCCTCCCAGTTTCACTTTTATTTCCCAGGCTGGAGTCCAATGGTGTGATCTCAGTTTACTGCAACCTCTGCCTCCAGGGCTCAGTAGCTGGGATTACAGGCATGCACCACCATGCCCAGCTAATTTTGTATTTTTAGCAGAGACAGGTTTCACTATGTTGGTCAGGCTGGTCTCAAACTCCTGACCTCAGGTGATCTGCCCACCTCAGCCTCCCAAAGTGCTTGGATTACAGGCGTGAGCCATTACGCCTGGCCTAAGTAAAGTATTTCATAACAGTTGGGTCTGAAACCAAGGGACTACTGGCTGATACTGCTGCCATATCACAGAACAAGCTGTTGATATTCTGGGTTGCTCCTTTTGCATTGAGCTATACTGATACTGTAGCCACTGGACACATGAAACTATTTACATTTAGATACAAGTACATTAAATGTAAATTTTAGTTCCTCAGTTGCACTGGCCACATTTCAAGTGCCCAGTAGCCACATGTGGCATGTGACTACTGTAATGGACCATGCAGAGGACAGTTCCGTCATTGCAGAAAGTTCTCTTGGACAGCACAAGCACAGAGCACCCCGTCTCCAGTTAAGACACCTACATGCAGCCTGGTGTGGTAGCCGATGCCTGTAATCCCAGCACTTTGGGAGATCTAGGTGGGAGGATCACTTGAGGCCAGGAGTTCAAGACCAACCTGGGCAACATAGTGAGACCCTGTCTCTACAAAAAATTAAAAAATTAGCTGGGTGTGGCGGCATGTGCCTATAATCCCAGCTACTTGGGAGACTGAAGTGGGAAATCACTTGAGTCCCAGAGGCTGAGGCTACAGTGAACCATGATCACACCACTGCACTCTAGCCTGGGTGACAGAGTAAGACTCTATCTTAAAAAAAAAAAAGACATCAATATGCATTGCTTTGCCCACACTACCCAGGTGCAGTGAGCAATCAATAATACATGTTTTACGTTAATGAGTCACTTAAATTTTTTTTTAAACCTACTTATTTTTGGTGCTTTTAGTATATGCATCAGGCCTTTCCTTTCTCATTCTGTAAGCTGGCTATTTTGCTCATTTGAAAAGGAGGTTCTTGAGAATGAAAGAGATGAACGAACTCATCCTTAGTAAATGGATAATATGTAGGAACAGGGCCTTTGCCCCAAGTCTTTGGATCCCAAGTGCCCTCCTGGTTTCACCACCTCCTGCTGCTCTCCTCCCCACAGGACCACCATCAGGACCATCACCACCACAGGACATTTTATTCCCTGTCAAGTGGTGAAGGCATTCTTACCCAGAAATAATTTCTCCTTCTGTATCTAATTTGAGACAAATGCTTCAGAATTGTAAAAACGAAAGTAATTTATTCACGAGGTAAAGCAGGTTTTCTATTGAAATTATTCATGCTTTCTGTTTCTATTTCTAGCTTGAGCAATTTCGGACCCTGCTTTTCACTTCCGAGGGGGAGAAGGAGAAAAGAATGGTGGACAACTTCCGCCCCCTTCAGCCACTGATGAATCGCACTGTCCGTTCATCCTTCCAGCACGATTATGTGCTGAATGTACAAGCGAAACCCAAGCCGGCGACCAGCCAAGCAACCCCCTAAACCGTTCATATCTAGGCAGTATTTTGCCTTTGCTTTAATATATACTAGCTTACTAAAAATTGTTAACTAGACTATTCTAAATACCTGCATTTGATAATATTTACAGATGTGCATTTCTTAGCATGTGAGTGCTTCATCAGTCTTTGAACAAAGCTATTTGGTACCAGCAAGAGATACAAGTTTCTCTTACAGTTACCTGTTGGTAATTGTAATGCCTTTTTTTTTTTCTTTAGGAGACTAGGTCTCGCTCTGTTGCCCAGGCCAGAATGCAGTGGCCCAGTGACAGCTCACTGCAGCCTTGAACTCCTAGGCTCAAGCGGTCCTCCTGCCTTAGCTTCTGCAGTAGCTGGGGCCATGGGTGCTGGCCACCTGGCCTGGCTTGTAATATATTTTTGTATCTGACATTTTTGAGCTATCTTTTTATGTTTATCCATTAGTGGTTCTATAGTGCTATACATAGGGATTATAATCAAAATTTTTAACAAGTGGTAAGGCATAGACATTGACCAGAACTCAGGCCTTTCAGAAACAGCCTGTGGGCCCAGACTGGTACTTCCTGGCTGAACCTTAGTCATGGTTTAGGTGTATTTTATTTCATAACATGAATGTGTATTCTTTCATAAGGGCTTCTCAATGAGTATATTTGCCCCAGTCTTTAATTGTTATAAGGACATGATACGTTTACTTACTATAAACTTATGATGAAGAAAAACAAGGACTTTTCCTATATCCAGAAATACCTTTGCACTTCTGAAGATCAGATATTTTACTTAAACATCTGATCATATAGAAAATATATGCAGAACATTTTAAGGAAAATGCTTGGCCAGGTGCGGTGGCTCACGCCTGTAATTACAGCACTTTGGAAGGCTGAGGCTGGTGGATTACTTGAGGTCAGGGGTTCGAGACCAGCCTGGCCAACTTGATGAAACACTGTCTCTACTAAAAATACAAAAATTAGCTGGGCATGGTGGTAGACATCTGTAATTCCAGCTACTCAGGAAGCTGAGGCTAGAGAATCGCTTGAACCCAGGAGGCGGAAGTTACCGTGAGCCAAGATCATACCATCTACTCTAGCCTAGGTGACAAGAGTGAGACTCCATCATGTCTAATAAAAAAAAAAAAGAAAGAAAAAAGGAAATGCTAAAAGTGCCTAGAACTTAGAATTCTTTCATTGTACATTTCCAGAAATATTTTTCAAAGGTCTAGTAATCTAATAGCCTATAGTTTATAATATTATTTTGTATTATTTGCGCACTGTTACGTAGTATATAATGATAATCTTTTCTACAGTAAAAAAGGTATCCTGTCTGAACTTTACAACTGTCTGAATTTTATTTCCTCATTAGTCAAGGTTCTTTGCAAGGCAGGTGATCAACCTAAATCTCTCAGTTTATACAGTAGTTTATAAGACTTTTCTTATGGTCATAGGGAGAGAAACTTGTCAGATAGGCTAAAATCTACATGCCCCTGTTGCTGTTGCTTATCTAGGAATGTTTCCAAATGCCTCTAAGCGTATGTTCAGACTCAGTGTTGCATTAATAACTGGTAGTATTTCTTTCATCAATATGTTAGTTATCTGGTCTGCAAGATAGGGTTGGATGAATATACTTAACACTACTGAACTGTAAAAGATGGTTAGGAAGGAAATGGGACTACATCAGACTTAAAACTTCCTGTGTGTCAAAGGAAGCAATCAACAAAGTGAAAAGGCAAGCTCTAGAGTGAGAGAAAATAATTGCAAATCATATATCTTATAAGGAGCCCAGGGCTGGGCACGGTGGCTCACGCCTGTAATCCCAGCACTTTGGGAGGCAGAGGTGGGTGGATCACGAGGTCAAGAGATCGAGACCATCCTGGTCAACATGGTGAAACCCCGTCTCTACTAAAAATAAAAAACATTAGCTGGGCATGGTGGCGCATGCCTGTAATCCCAGCTACTCAGGAGGCTGAGGCAGGAGAATTGCCTGAACCCAGGAGGCAGAGGTTGCGGTGAGCCGAGATCGCGCCATTGCACTCCAGCCTGGGTAACAAGAGCAAAACTCCGTCTCAAAAAAAAAAAAAAAAGGAGCCCAGGCTGGGCGCGGTGGCTCACACCTGTAATCCCAGCACTTTGGGAGGCCGAGGCGGGCAGATCATGAGGTCAAGAGATCGAGACCATCCTGGCCAACATGGTGAAACCCCGTTTAAAAAATAAAAAGAAAAAGAAAAAATCGGAGCCCAAATCCAGAATATATGAGGAACTTCTATAACTCAACAACAAGAAAACCAAATAATTCAATTTTTAAAAATGGGCAAAGGACTTGCATAGACATTTCTCCAAAGAAGATATACAAATGGGCAATAAGAACATGAAAAGATGCTCAACATTGCTAATTATTAGGGAAATGCAAATCAAAACCACAATGAGATATCATCTCATGCCCACGATGATGGCCACTATCAGAAGAACAAAAAAATAACAAGTGTTGGGGAGGATGCAGAGAAACTGAATCTCTTGTGCACTGTTGGTGGTAATGTAAAATGGTGCAGTCATCATGTAAAACAGTACACAGGTTTCTCAAAGAACTGAAAACAATTACCATAAGAATTACCACCAAAGTAGGATCTCAAAGAGATATTATACATCCATGTTCATAGCAGCATTATTCACAATAGCCAAGAGGTTCTGGAAGCATCCCAAATGTCCATCAACAGATGAATGGATAAAGAAAATGTAGCATATATGTTCAACAGAATATTATTCAGCTTTTAAAAAGAAGGAAATACTGTCAAGTGTACAATGTAGATGAACCTTGAAGGCATTATGTCAAGTGAAATAAGTCAGTCACAAAAGAACAAATACTGTATGATTATCCACGTGAAGTATCCAAAGTAGTCAAAATCATACAATAGAAAGTAGAAAGGTGGTTACCAAGGGCCGGAGGAACGGGAGAGGGCGAATTTGTATTTAGTGGGTATAATAGAGCTTGTGTTGCAAGAATTCTAGAGATCTATTGCAAAGCAGTGTGATTATACTTAACACTACTGAACGATATACTTAATATGATTAAGATGGTGTATTTAAAAAAATAATTAAGATGGTCATTTTTATATTTGTATTTTACCATGTTAAAAGTAAAAAATTAATTTCATAGAGAAAAAATAGATAGGGCTGGAGTTGCACATATAAGTTTGAGAAATATCTCTTTTAAAAAGGGGGAAATGTGAAGGCTTTTGCATGTATGCCCTAGGAAACGCGTAAGATTCTTAAAAAGGTAAACATGGTATAAAATGAAATCTTTGTTAACTTTCTACAGTTCACCTGTTTCAAAGTATAGTTACCTTTAAAAGGGTAAACACACAAGATATGCATTTTCCAGAGCACGCAGGCTTTTCTCCCAACTGCCTTGTGAAACAATCAGTGCAAAACCCTATTGCAGTGAGTTTTCCAAATTGAAGGAGGAGTAATGTACAGAATGCCTGACTTGCCCACCTCCTTGCATCTTATACCTGATGTTCTGGTGTGATTATTAACCACACTCTCACTTTGAACCGTGTCCTGGTTTGCATGGCCACCTTTCCTGCAGCGGTGATTGAAACTGGCTGGAGGCAGTTTCGGTTTCCATGCCTTAGTTAGATGACCCTCAAAGGGGCACAGTAGATTTCCCTGGCTACTGATACTTGTGTTTTTTTATGCCCTCAAAAGTGTTTTGCTTGTATTTTCCTAGACATGAAGGTTGAAAATGGGCCTAAGGTCTGTCAAAGGTCTTGGAAAATAAGGTTGTATTAAAATTGCTGTTCATTTTCATTAAATAATACTAGATCAATAAAACCCTTTCTTTACGATATTAGTGGTTGGTGAAAGACTCGCTTTCTATTGTTTCGGTATATGTATATGTCTGTAAAATTAATGCGCTATCCTTTAACTTGTAGATTACAAAGTGACTAAAAACTCATAGGGGTATTAAACAAGCAACAATGGGAAGAGGCGGCTGATCCTCCTCAGTGCACCTCTTTCTGTCGAACAGTACAGTGTACAGTCTGCTGATATCACCATATAGGGCAGGCTGTGACCGCCTTTCTCCTTTCCCAGGGCTAAGTGGTGTCAAGCAGGTTCAGTGTACACTGGTTATCAACCTGAGTCCAGTGTGACAGAACGCACTCATACCTAATAAATTACATGAAGCAGATTTATTACTTACAGACAGGAAGCAAGGGACAAAAGAGGCCCTGGCTGCATTGTGAGCCAGTCCCCAGGGCTCTAGAAAGCTGCCCAGAGCAGGGCTGATGGAGTCTTGACTGTACCTGCCCCACTCGCACCACAGCTGACAGACCCCAAAAGGCACCCTGCCTTGGGTTATATACCACAGGGGCCACATGACGCACTGGGCAAAGCTTTAAAGGATCCTGCTTCTAGGGGAGAGTGGAACACAACCTGGCTGACTTGAACAGTTCCTCCCTACCTCAAATATTACATTCCCTAAGAGGGACAAGAACAAGGGCAAACTGTTTCAGGCAGTTCTTCCATATCAGGATATTGCATTCCCAGTGCATTCTACAGTTATTGTTAAAAACTACAAGCAAGGAAGAGGGAAGAACTGGGTCAGTCCAAGGCCACCTGGAGAACTGTCTTGCACATGGGTTAGGGTAAAGTTGGCTATTCTAAAACCAGGCATCCACCCAAAAGAAGTCTTGGAAGATGTCTTTCTCTATTAAATTCAAATGATGGTAATTATAGTTTGGAAGTGGAATTGGCTTTTAAAGTTACTTCTGTAATGAAATTAACAAGCAATTCAACCCTATTTCTGAAAATGAATTCAGTGGTTAATTGTTGAAAATAAATGTCTAACTCCTATAAAAGGAAATTTACATTCATTTCTAACTCATTAAAATATCTACGGCTAGGCACCATGACTCATGTTTGTAATCCCAGCACTTTGGGATGCCAAGGCAGGCAGATGACCTGAGGTCGGGAGTTCAAGACCAACACCCTGCCAACATGGTGAAACCCCGTTTCTACTAAAAAATACAAAAATTAGCCGGGCGTGGTGGCATGAGCCTGTAATTCCAGCTACTCAGGAGGCTGAGGCAGAAGAATCACTTGAGTCTGGGAGGCGGAGGTTGCAGTGAGCTGAGATTTCTTAGAAGATATTATTACTGGGGCTGGGCATGGTGGCTCATGCCTGTAATCACAGCACTTTGGGAGGCTGAGGTGGGTGGATCACGAGGTCAAGAGATCGAGACCATCCTGGTCAACATGGTGAAACCCCGTCTCTACTAAAAATACAAAAAATTAGCTGGGCACGGTGGCGCGTGCCTGTAATCCCAGCTACTCAGGAGGCTGAGGCAGGAGAATTGCCTGAACCCAGGAGGCGGAGGTTTCGGTGAGCCGAGATTGCGCCATTGCACTCCAGCCTGGGTAACAAGAGCGAAACTCCGTCTCAAATAAAAAAAAAAAAAGATATTATTACTTATTGTTCTGAAGCGGAAGTCTGGTCTGATTCATAAGAAATGTTGCAACAACTCAAACACTGATGCTTTCAGAATGGGCAGTAATTCTCAGCATAAGTTCTGATCACAGGGGCAAAATTTGTGACTTCCATAGCTACAACATTCTGTGCCATCCAGGGCACTCTAGTTTGGGGATACAACTGCCAAATCTCCACCCAGAGAGTTTAGTTTAAGATTTAGTCAAGAAGCAGACAGGTAAAGGTGACGATGTGTACTAAATCATCACAGATGTTATGAAAGGTGCAATACTCGTGCTGGAAATGCACATGGTGCCTCACCTCTCTTGAGGGGGTAAGGAAGGTTTCACACTAATGATGATGATGGTGATGATGATGTAACAGCTAAAGTTCTGGAGGCATCCACTATTGCCAGGCATTGTATCAGCATATAGCATGGGTTATCTTACTCACTTTTCACAATAAAAGCCTTATAAGATGGGAACTATTATTACTATCTTTATTTTTACAAATGAGAAAACAGGAATAGACATTAAGAAAAAAAAATTTTTTTTTCAGACGGACTTCCACCCTGTTGCCCAGGCTGGAGTGCAGTGGCACAATCTCGGCTCATTGCAACCTCCACCTCCCGGGTTCAAGGGATTCTCCTGCCTCAGCCTCTCAAGTAGCTGGGACTATAGGTGTGCGCCATCACACCTGGCTAATTTTTGTATTTTTAGTAGAGAGGGGGTTTCACCGTGTTAGCCAGGATGGTCTTGATCTCCTGAGCTTGTGATCTGCCGACCTCAGCCTCCCAAAGTGATGGGATTACAGGTGTGAGCCACTGTGCCCGGGACATCAAGGAATTTACTCAAGATCACAACCAACCAATGCACGGAGCTAGACAACGTCAACTTGGAGGTGAAGGGAACATGTGCTGCCCCAAGTGTGTCAGTATAAGAGGGATTAGGGTGAGGTTTTATGCAGAGTTTGGGCTTCAGTTGAGTAATTCTAAGGAGGGATTAGAGGAAGCAGGGCAGTAGTTTAGTAATTGGGTATCTCAGCAACTTTAATTTGGAGGAGAACGGAACAAACCGAGGCCAAGGAAGCTATTCAATCACTCAAAGGATGGTGGTTGTTAGTCATTTTACAGCTGTAATGTATCCTTGTGAGGAACATTTTTTGCTTGGCCTTGTATGTGTACATTAAAGTCTGATTATTAGTTGGGATAATTTTTAGTTTTTCAATCCCTATTCTAATTACTCCAGTTTAATTCCTTATCACCTTTCGCTTAGATTATTGTGATATTCTAGCTTTATCTTTTAATCCTTTATATTGCAAAACAGAGTAATTTACCTAAAACACAAATGCAACCACAATAAGCCTCTATTTAAAAGCTTTCAACGAATCACTGTTGTCTCTACAGAATGTAAATACAGTGTCTTAACATGGCACACCAGGCCCTCTTCCTTAACCTAGCCCTCCCACCCCATCGCTACAACTATTCGTTGATACTCTCTAATTGCAGTTTAAATTGGATCACTGGGCGGGCATGGTGGCTTGAGCCTGTATTCTCAACTACTTGGGAGGCTGAAGGATCGCTTGATCTTCGGGAGGTCGAAGCTGCAGTGGGTTGTGATTGCGCCACTGCACGCCAGCCTCGGTGAAAGAGCAAGACACTGTCTCTAACATATAAGAAATGAACAAATAAATTCGATTGCCAGAATTCTTGCTGTTCCCAGCATATTCCAGTTTTACCTCTCAGTGCCTTTGCTTATTCTGATCTGACTGTAACTGCATTCCCACCCTTCTCTGTCTGGGTAAAGGGCATCTTCCTTCCAAACTCAACTCTTTTTTCTTTTTTTTTTTTTTTTTTGAGACCGAGTCTTGCTCTGTTGCCCGGCCTGGAGTGCAATGGCGTGATCTTGGCTCACTGCCACCTCTGCCTCCCGGGCAAGCAATTCTCCTACCTTAGCCTCCCGAGTAGCTGGGATTACAGACATATGCCACCATACCCGACAAATTTTGTATTTTTAGTAGAGGCAGGGTTTCTCCATGTTGGTCAGGCTGGTCTCTAACTCACGACCTCAGGTGATCCGCCTGCTTCGGCCTCACAAAGTGTTGGGATTACAGGCGTGAGCCACTGCCCCCGACCCCAAGCTCAACTCTTAGCATCAGAAAGCTCTCCCTGATACTGCAATTGAGTCATACGTGATACTAGGGGGAAAAAAGTTAAAACGCTCTCCCTGAATCCCTAGGTGGACTATGTTAGGTAAACTTCATTTGCCTGCATCATATTATGTATCGGTTCTTCTCTGACCTTCGATTGTAAACTCCTCAGGGGCAGGGGTAATAGCTTTGCAGCCCGGGAGTTAGGTATGCTTGGGGCCCGAACAGGTGTGACGGGCAGGGAGCGGAGTCTGGAGCTTTATCTGAGGCCCTGATAGGTGGATCGGCGGAAGGACGCGGAACCTGAAAAGTCGGAAATGAAGCCGGGCGAGCAGCTCTGTGCGGGATGTGACTTCATGAGTGGACGCTGAGAAAAGCGGGAGTGTGCGACTTTAACCTCCTGGCCACAACACGTCCTGCTAGGGCGAGGAGGGAGACAGTGATAAATCACTGGGCAAGTGCTGAAGCGACACTTACTTCTAGAGCGGGGCAAAAGCCCCACAGGATTTCTGCGGGAAGGAGCTACATATTTGAGCAGCGTTTTGGAAGACGGGCCGCCGAAAGGTACCTCCACCCTTCCGTTTCTGGTCTCGTGCAAGGGGAGGCCGCCCGGCGCCCGCGCCTGCGCGTGCCCTTCGCAGCTCATAGGCCTGCCCTTTCCTGGAGGGGCGGGTCGGAGCCGCCAAGATGGCTGCGCCCGAGAAGATGACGTTTCCAGAGAAACCAAGGTAAGCTCCGTACGGGGAGATGAGCAGGTGAGCTGGCCGACCGTGGCCATGGAGGATGTGGTAGCAGGAAGAAAAGGGAAGCAGGGCCAGGCCAACCGAGCCACCGTGACAGCTCGATTCCTTCCTGGTCCCCTCCCTGGTGCCCTCCCCGGAGTGTCACCGGGCGATCGTAGGCTCAGGCAAGCGAGGAGGGGATCAGGTGGCGGATGGAGAAGATCGCCTGGGAGTGGGAGGATGAGGCGATGATAGATGCCTGTTCTATAATTAAAATACAGGAAGCAATATTTCTTTCCTTAGCGCCCGAACTATTTCCTTTCATTGCACTCGGAGGAGCGGGAAGCTCGGGCAGCGCTGCAGTGTAGCCGCTGATTGTTGTGTGTCTGTTTTTAAATCTTGCAGCCACAAAAAGTACAGGGCCGCCCTGAAGAAGGAGAAACGAAAGAAACGTCGGCAGGAACTTGCTCGACTGAGAGACTCAGGTAATGGACCCTTTATCCTGTTTTCTGTGTTGTGAAATTGCTCTGTCCACTCCAGCCCTAACTTGAAGCCCCAGTGCCAGAAGGAAGTCAAATACTGCATCGGAGGAAAAATAGCTGTGGCTACTACTTCCCAAGTAGTTATTTACAAACACATGTTGGAAATAATGTTACTATACTAAAGGCGGGAAGAAGTGTTGGCGAATCATCACCCACTGATTATGTGTAACCATTTATAAAGTGTCGAACATTATAGTTGCAAACATCATGAATTACAGCAGCTGGCACAGTCCTTGCAGCACTCTTGGTTTCAAGTAATCCTTCCACCTCAGCCTCCCAAAGTGCTGGGATTATAGGCATGAGCTACCATGCCTGGCCCAAAACTCCTATTTGACTATAAAACAATATGTGGGCTGGGCGCACGGTGGCTCATACCTGTAATCCCAGCACTTTGGCTGGGATCACCTGAGGTCAGGCGTTCAAGACCAGATCCTCCAATATTCGGTGAATATTTTTATTTGAAAACCAGCAGGAGTTGAAGGTATTAATTAGAGGTTTTGCAAGTTTTTTTCAAACTTGACTAATATGAGACCCTTTGTTTACCCAAATCATTATGTTATTCAAATATCTATCAACAGAAAAGTTTTGAAGCTCATTTATTTATTTTTGAAACAGGGTCCTGTACTGTTGCCTAGGAGGGAAGTGCAGTGGCACAACTACGGCTCCCTGCAGCCTCCACCTCCCAGGTTCAAGCAGTCCTCCCACTTCAGCTTCCCTAGTAGCTGGTACTACAGGAATCTACCACCACATCTGGCTAATTTCTTTTTCTTTCTTTTCTTTTCTTTTTGAGACAGAGTCTTGCTCTCTCACCCAGACTGAAGTGCAGTGGTGCTATCTCGGTTCACTGCAGCCTCAGCCTCCCAGGTTCCAGCAATTGTCCTGCCACAGCCTCCTAAGTAGCTGGGATTACAGGTGTGTGTCACCACACCCGGCTAATTTTTGTATTTTTAGTAGACATGGGGTTTCACTATGTTGGCTAGGCTGGTCTCGAACTCCTGACCTCAGGTTATCCACCCACCTTGGCCTCCCAAAGTGTTGGTATGACATGTGTGAGCCACTGCGCCTGGCCCACCTGGCTAATATTTAAAATTTTTGTAAAGATGGGATTGCACTATGTTGCCTGGGCTGTTCACTAACTCCTGACCTCAAGCGATCCTTCCACCTCGGCCTCCCAAAGTGCTGGGATTATAGGCACGAGCCACCACACCTGGCCTGAAGCTCTTATTTGACTATACAACAATATATGGGCCTGGTGCGTGGTGGCTCATGCCTGTAATCTCAGCACTTTGGGAAGCTAAGGCAGGTGGATCACCTGAGGTCAGGGGTTCAAGACTCAGCCTGGCCAACATAGTGAAACCCCATCTCTATTGAAAATACAAGATTAGCTGGGCTTGGTGGTGGGTGCCTGTAATCCCAGCTACTTGGGAGGCTGAGGCAAGAGAATCACTTGAACCTGGGAGGCAGAGGTTGCAATGAACCGAGATCACGCCACTGCTCTCCAGCCTCAACAGCAGAGTGAGACTCTGTCTCAGAAAAACAAACAAAAAATACATTTATAAATTATAAAACTAAATGAAATTACACATTCAGTAAAATTTAAATCTACATCATGCAATGCTGGGGATGATGTGAGACTGATACTCCTCACAACATGTATATGGCACTGATGAGAGTTTGGAATGCCTCTACTAATGTTGCCTTATGGTTATTTACTATTAAATAGCATTTATTTTTCTATTAAATGACTGTAGAACCTTTATGTGTACAGCAGATTTAACCTTCACGTGGCAACACCTAACATTTATGTATTAAATCTGCCTGCTTAATGCAATAAAATTAGGACTTAGTTATAAAATTATGTCATAGTTATAAATGCAGATGGGAGCACTGAAATCATACAGTACTACTGGGTTATAATGATTGTCATCCACATTATCCAGAATATGCTTATTAAATTATCCTGGACAATTCTTTTTTTTTTTGTACTTTAGGTTCTGGGGTACATGTGCAGATCATGCAGATTGTTGCATAGGTACATACATGGCAATGTGGTTTGGTGCCTACATCCCCCTGTTACCTATATCTGGCATTTCTCCCCATGTTATCCGCCCCCAACCTCCCTACCCCACGCTGTCCCTTCCCTATTCCCCCCTCAACAGACCCCAGTATGTGATGCTCCCTTCCCTGTGTTCATGTGTTCTCATTGTTCATCACCCACCTATAATGAAAACATGTGGTGTTAGATTTTCTGTTCTTGTGTTAGTTTGCTGAGAATGATTGTTTCCAGGTTCATCCATGTCCCTACAAAGGACATGAACTCATTGTTTTTTATGGCTGCATAGTATTCCATGGTGTATATGTGCCACATTTTCCTTGTCCAGTCTATCATCGATGGGCATTTGGGTTGGTTCCAGGTCTTTTCTATTGTAAACGGTATCGCAGTGAACATACGTGTGCATGTGTCCTTATAATAGAACGATTTATAATCCTTTGGATATATACCCAGTAATGGGATTGCTGGGTCAAATGGAATTTCTATTTCTAGGTTGTTGAGGAATCGCCACACTGTCTTCCACAATGGTTGAACTAATTTACACTCCCACCAACAGTGTAAAAGTGTTCCTATTTCTCCACATCCTTTCCAGCATCTGTTGATCCTAGATAATTCTTGAAATCCAGAGACCATGGCCTCAAGTAACTAGGATTCTTGGGACTTGAGAAACGTAGCCATAGAGGTTTTATTTACCATTGGAGTTCCCGAGTAATTATTTTAGTGTTAGTACTTGGGATATTTAGAGTGGAAGGAGCAGTGTGTTTACCTGCAACCTGTGTTAGCATTTCTCTCTTACTAGTTAAAAACTCATCCACTAGAGGTAGAACAAAGCATCAGGGATAAAAGGAAAAATAGGATAGGTTGGAGTTATTGAGGCCCTTACTGTACTTCCTCTCTCCCCTCTTGAAATTTTCAGCTACTTTACTTTGTTCGTTTAACTGTTTTATTCTAACATACTTTAAAAAAAAAAACTTCTTCCTCTTTTTCTTTGCCTGCACTAAATCCTATAACAGCTGGTATTTGTATTGTTTTGATTTTTTTTTCCTTTTACTTAGCAAGGTGTGTTCAGAGTGAGCCTCTGTGAAGAGTCAGGCCAGTCATGTCCCGTGATAGTTTAGTCCATTAAAGGATCCAGGTCACTGGTCTGTCAAGATTATATAACTAATGGCACATCCAAGACAAAGCACCTGTCTCTGCACTTCTGCTTCTAGTTTTTCCCACTCCGCCTAACAATTCCTTGCCTAGTGGTACTTCATGAATACTGTAGACTATGGAACACTGCTTTTTTTTTTTTTTTTGAGACGGAATCTTGTTCTCTCGCCCGGGCTGGAGTACAATGGCATGATCTCGGCTCAGTGCAGCCTCCACCTCCCAGGTTCAAGTGATTCTTCTGCCACAGCCTCCCAAGTAACTGGGATTACAGGCACCTGCCATCATGCCCGGCTAATTTTTGTACTTTTGTAGAGACAGGGTTTCACCATGTTGGCCAGACTGATCTTGAACTCCTGACCTCAGGTGATCTGCCTGCCTCGGCTTCTCAAAGTGCTGGGATTACAGGTGTGAGCCACTGCACCAGCCAGGAACATTGTCTCGTTCTGTCCCCCAGGCATGCAATGGCATGATCTTGGCTCACCACAACCTCCGTCTCCCGGGTTCAAGCATTTCTCCTGCCTCAGCCTCCGAGTAGCTGGGATTACAGGCGCCCATCACCACGCCCAGCTAATTTATTTTTATTTTTTATTTTTAGTTGAGATAGGGTTTCACCATATTGGCCAGGCTTGTCTCAAACTCCTGACCTTGTGATCTGCCTGCCCCAGCCTCCCAAAATGCTGGCATTACAGGCGTGAGCACCATGCCAGGCCATAACACATACTTTGTATGTTATATATGTATTATATACCATATTCTTATAATAAAGTAAGCTAGAGAAAAGAATGTTACTAAGAAAATCATGAGGAGTAGAAAATATATTCACCACTCATTAAATGGAAGTGGATCATGATAAAGGTCTTCATTCTCCGTGTCTTCATGTTGAGTAGGCTGAGGAGGAAGAAGAGGAGTCTTGGGTGACGGAGGCAGAAGAGGTGGAGGAGGTGGAAGGGAAGGCAAGACGGTAGACACATTTGGTGTAACTTTGCAGAAATATATTATCGTTTCTGTCTGACATTTTTGCTTTTTCATTTCTCTAAAAATGTTTCTATACAGTTCCAGTTCTTCCACCATTTGCTTTAGTTTTAATGTGTTCATTTTCAGTTTAGACGGGTCCATAAAAGAAGTCAAAAGCAGTCTCGAATGATTGGCACTTCTGCCAGATTGTCTAGTGTCAATTTGTTTTCTGGCACTGCTTCCCCTAAGTTTTCTTCCTCATCACCTTGCACTGGAGGACTCATCCCCATCAAATGGACTTTTGTTAATTACTTTGGTGTATCTGTTAGCTCTTGAATTTCTCCAAGTTTTATATCGTGAAACCCTTCACCCCAGCTCCCTTGCACTTTTTTTTCCGTATCCACCATATCCACAATCTCTTTCACGATTTCCTTGATTGGCTCTGTCTTGAGTCCTGTGAAGCCGTGCACAATATCTGGACGGTTTTCTCTCCAGCAGGACTTTGTTTGGGGCTTGATGATTTTCAAGGCTTTTTCTTTCCTTTTTTTTCTTTTGAGATGGAGTCTTGCTCTGTCCCCTAGGCTGGAGTGCCATGACATGATCTCGGCTCACCGCAACCTCCACCTGCCAGGAGTGCAAGCAACTCTCCCGCCTCAGCCTCCTGAGTAGCTGAGATTACAGGCACGCACCACCACATCCAACTTTTTGTATTATTAGTAGAGACAGGGTTTCACCATGTTGGCCAGGTTGGTCTCGAATTCCAGACCTCAGGTGATCCGCCTGCCTCGGCCTCCCAAAGTGCTGGGATTACAGGCGTGAGCCACTGTACTCAGCCCTGCATTAACTTTTTATGATAGATTTGTATTTCTGGTAGCAAATGATAAAATAGACTAGTATGTACATTTATTTTATGCATTCATGACATACCTTTTTCCTAAATTTTTTCAGTATTTCTAGGCTATGCCGCTTATCTGCTATTTTTTTTCAAATTGTTGCAAATCTCCCCTAAATGTTCCAGTGTGTTTATTGAAAAAAATCTGTATTTAAATAGACCGAGGCTGTAAAAACCTGTATTGTTCAAGGGTCAACTGTATTGTGTTTACATGTATTGCATATATCTGATTGTACATGGGAAAATGCTGTACCCAGAACTGTTAGCAATCACTTCTGTGGAGTATATGAGCTTGGTTTCAAGGCAATGGGAGTTGAATGAGTGAGTCAACAGATATTTGTGAGTGTCAGCTGCGTCTGTGCCCTGTCTAATCTATGGGCATACCTCTGCAGGTAAGTCAGCCATATCCTCTGCTAGGTTCTTTGGCCCTTTAAGTACATTAGATCATCTAATTATCTGAACAGTTAGATATTATTTTATGCGATTGAGAACTTATTCTACATTTGTTGCCTATTTTAATTCCAGTTGCTGAAATAATAAAGTTTACTTACTTAAGACAAATTATTGTAATTATCTAGGACTGGATGAGCCTTCAGTTAGAACTATACTCAACGCATGGGGCAAACACAGGCTCTTGTTTCTTTAAGCCTGACATGTGTTACATTTCTTTAAGATCATTTCAATCTTCCATTTCTTTTCCATTTATCACTGATTTTTTTCCCCAAATTTTGAATAGGAGAGGATGTAAATGTCTATTCTATTAAAAGTTATTTTTTCATGTTTCTAATCTACAGAAAGTTGAAAAAAATAGCACAATAAATATCCATGAATCCTTCAGCAAGATTTGCCAGTTGTTAACATTTGGCTGGCCTGCCCGCCTGCCTGCCTGCCTGCCTTCCTTCTTCCTTCCTTCCTTTTTTCCTTCCTTCCTTCCTTCCTTCCTTTTTTCCTTCCTTCCTTCCTTCCTTCCTTCCTTCCTTCCTTCCTTCCTCTCTCTTTCTTTCATTTGTCTCTCTCTTTTTTTTTTCTTTCTCTCTCTCTCTCTCTTTATTTAAAGAGATACATATATAGAACATTTTTTTTCTGAACCTTTTGGATGGCAGTTGCACATAGCAGCATCTCACCCCTAAATTCTTCAGCCTGCAACTCCTAAAAATAAGGACATTCTCTCACAGAACCACAATGCCAGACTTGCACCTGAGTGCATGAGCAGTAATTCAGTGGTATGATATACAGGCCATATTTAGACTTCCCCAAACCAGGATTGATTGTTTTGAAAAACTTAAGCCGGTTATCTTGTGGAACGCCCTGCATTCTGAATTATTCTATCTTCCCATGATGAGCTTCAGGTGACAACACTCTTTAGAACAAAGGATTACAGCGCAGCGGTTGTAAACCTCTTATTGCATACACCATGAAACCTATCGTGTCAGGTTGTTGCGCTCCCGGTGATGCTAACTGTGGTTAAAGTGTTACCCACTCAGATCGCGCCATTATAAAGCTGCATTTTTTTCTTTTGTAATCAGTTCTCATTTCTGGGGTGATATGTTGAGCTAGTGTGAATATCCTCTTCCCAGCAAGCTTTCATTCAATGTGTGTGTGTGTGTGTGTGTGTGTTTTGAGATGGAGTTTTGCTGTTGTTGCTCAGGCTGGAGTGCAATGGCATGGTGCGAGCTCACCACAACCTCCGCCTCCTGAGTTCAAGCAATTCTCCTGCCTCAGCCTCCCTAGTAGCTGGGAATACAGGCATGTGCCACCATGCCAGCTAATTTTGTGTTTTTAGTAGAAATAGGGTTCCTTCATGTTGGTCAGACTGGTCTTGAACTCCCAACCTCAGGTAATCCGCCCGCCTCGGCCTCCCAGAGTGCTGGGATTACAGGTGTGAGCCACCACACCTGGCCTCATTCAATGTTTTTAATATCTTTGTCTAAATTTTTACAGTGGGCTTTGCAAAAGTGTTGATTTATCCACTTAAGTTTTTCTACATTTTTTAGTTGCCATTCTTCTGTAAAGAAAGATGTTCCTTTCCACACCCCCACCACCTTTTTTTTTTTTTTTTTTTTTTTTTTGAGATGGAGTTTTGCTCTTGTTGCCCAGGCTGAGGTGCAATGGCATGATCTTGGTTCATTGCAACCTCTGCCTCCTGGGTTTAAGTGATTCTCCTCCCTCAGCCTCCAGAGTAGCTGGGATGACAGGCACCTGCCACCACGCCTAGCTAATTTCCTTTTTAAATATAATTGTGGAACCATTGATTAATTGTTAAATGTAATGTGCTATCTATTACCATTATTGTCCTTTTTGATGCTTGCGTTATACCAAATAAGGGTGATTAGAGACCTTCTTGTTAGAAGGTTTTAGAAACAGATTTTTACCGTAATTTTAAACATTAAAGATTACATGTATTTTCTTCCTGAATTTTTGACCAAGAATTTGCAGTGCTCAGTTTAATAAAACATTTAAATTCCTTTAGGACTCTCACAGAAGGAGGAGGAGGAGGACACTTTCATTGAAGAACAACAACTTGAAGAAGAGAAGCTATTGGAAAGAGAGAGGTCAGCGATAATTGAAACACTTAAAGTGAATGAAGTTATTTTATTGGAATATTATCAGCCTTTACTAACCAGTACCAGTCTTCTGTATAAAATCTTGTATAAAATAGGTCTTATAAAATACCCTGTATAAATTATTTAAATCTGTAGTTGATGGGCTAAAACTAGATGTTATTTTTTTTTAATGGAAGTACTTTTCGCTGTTTTTGCTCATTTGTTATTGTTTTTGAAACAGAAAAAAAAAAATAATTAACAAATGTAAAAGGGGAAAGGGTTTTAACAATGGCAACACACCCAAAGATAGCCACTGTTAAGAAAGAAAAAAGGAAGTGTAAATGTACTTTACATGTGTCTTTCTATAATGGGATGATATTTATACATGTTTTTCTATAAATTACTCTCTTGCTAAATATATAGTGCATTTATTTCAGTCCTGATGCAGGGATCTAATTAAGTATTTCAGTGGCAATACAAGGCTGGGTATGATGGCTCACGCCTGTAATCCCAGCACTTTGGGAGGCCGAGGCGGGTGGATAAAAAGGTCAGGAGTTCAAGACCAGCCTGGCCAACATGGTGAAAGCTCATCTCTACCAAAAATATAAAAATTAGCTGTGCATGGTGGCGCATGCCTTAATCCCAGCTTCTTGGGAGGCTGAGGCAGGAGAATTGCTTGAACCGGGACCCAGGAGACACAGGTTGCAGTGAGCCGAGATCGTGCCACTGAACTCCAGCTTGGGCTACAAAGCGAGACTCCGTCTCAAAAAAAAAAAAAGGCAATACAGTGCCTACTGTACAGATGTAGTATAATTTATGTGTTAGTCATAGTTTATTCATTCGTAAATTATAGCTCTCTACTGATGGACTTTCAGGTTATATTGGTCTTTTACTCATATGTAAAAAGTTGCAGTAAGCGGCTGAGTGCGGTGGCTCATGCCTGTAATCCCAGAACTTTGGGAGGCTGAGGCGGGTGGATCACGAGGTCAGGAGTTCAAGATGAGCCTGGCCAAGATGGTGAAACCCTGTCTCTACTAAAAATAGAAAAATTAGCTAGGCATAGTGGTGCATGCCTGTAATCCCTGCTACTCAGGAGGCTGAGGCAGAAGAATCACTTGAACGCGGGGGGCGGTGTAGGGTCCAGCCCTACAGGGTCCCATGACCCCCTCTCTACAGGTGTGGAGACAAGAAACTGTGAAAACAAAAGACACAAGACACCAAGAAAAAGAAAACAGAGTTTGGGCCCAGGGATCCACTGCGAACCAAAGCACAGAGTCAGGCAGTGGCCCCGAGTGCCCGGACACTCTGACTTTTATTGAGTACAAAGCAGGGGGAAGGGTAGGTAGGATACGTAATGGTGGTCGGTGATAGGGTCAGATAAATCACATGTCTTGCAGATTGGGGCCAAAACTTTGAAGATGTCAAGGTGAGGAGAGAACTCAAGGCGTCAGTACTTTTTTCTTACTTGTCAAGAAATAACAAGGTCACTAAGATTTATGTTACTATTACTAATTCTTATCTTCTAAGGAAAAGAGGAACCAGGTGCAGAAGCAGAACTTGAAAGTAGACATGGAACATAACCGCTGAAGCACAGTACCACATAGAGACAATTAAGTCCCCGGATGTCTGTGGGCCTCCCTGACAGCCCTCAGGCTTACCACAAGAGCTTGGAAGGCGGAGTTTTCTCCTCACTCCCTGGAGGAAGGAGATGTCTCGGCCATCTTGGACGTCTCCTTCCCTTGCTGGCTAAACAGCCGGTGCTTTCAGCGCTGACACTGTCGCACAGCAAGCATCCCCCAGCGGCCCTTAAGCGGGTGTGACAGAGGACTTAGAGCATGTTGCCTTAGGGTCACCTCTTTTCCAATGCCACTTAAGTCCCATACTTCTTAACCTGAGACTTATTAGTAAGATTAAAGATTATATGATTATATAGATGGATATATTTATGATTACATATGAATAGCTATGTGATTATGATTATATATATAGGAATAACTATATAACTATATCTCTAATTTGTTTCTAATTCTATGTTTATATGAGAACATGCTGAGGCTTCAGACTCTTGCCTCTCCTCTAGAGGGGTTTCCCCCTAACAGGGCAGAGGTTGAAATGAGCCGAGATCGCACCACTGCACTCCAGCCTGGGTGACAGAGTGAGACTCTGTCTCAAAAAAAAAAAAAAGTTGCAGTAAGCATCCATGCTTATATATCCTTGGTAATTGTCCAATTATTTCCTTAGGAAAATGACTAGAAATGAAATTGTTGGAATCAAGGCGTAAGTCCATGTAAAATGTAGATGGCCAGGTAGAAAGGGCTTCCTGGTTTGCAGTTAGCAGCCCTTCTGGCAGTGAATATAGGGGTCCATCTCCCCATACCCTCACTCATGCTAGGCATTATCAATTTATAAAACTTCTACAATGAAAAGTTATATTTCATTGTTTCAAATGCACATTTCTGAATTAGGTAGAGTATCTTTTTTATATGTTTTATTACCTATTTGTAGACTGCTCAAGTCTCACACCTTTCTCTTTTGGGATACATGTTTTGTTTGTTTTTTTTTTTTTTTTTTGAGATGGAGTTTTGCGCTTGTTACCCAGGCTGGAGTGCAATGGTGCGATCTTGACTCATTGCAATCTCTGCCTCCCAGTTCAAGTGATTCACCTGACTCACCCTCCTGAGTACCTGGGACTACAGGCGCACACCACCATGCCCAGCTAATTTTTTTTGTATTTTTAGTAGAGACAGGGTTTCACCATGTTGGCCAGGATGGTCCCGATCTCTTGACCTCATGATCCGCCTGCCTCGGCTTCCCAAAGTGCTGGGATTACAGGTGTGAGCCACCGTGCCCAGCCTTCTTAATTTGTTTTGTAAGCAATTTTATTACTTGATTAAGGATATTGATCCTTTGTTATATGTGTGATGTATACTCATTTATCATCATCAGTCCTAACTTGGCTTACTGCATTTCTTACCATGATTTGATTCTCATGTCATTGACTTTCATCATGATGTCTGATCTTGGTGTCTGACTGAAAAAAGTCTCTATTCCAAGATGATGAAAATATTCTGCTAACTTTTCTCTTTATATTTTTATGGGGTGGTTTTTGGTTTTTAAAGAAAATGTGGCACACACTAGTTTGAATGTATTTAGTGCCACTCAGCTGTACACTTAGAAAGGAGAAAAAACTTTATAGGCATTCTTCAGCTATTTAGTACTTTCACTGGAAATGTTGCTTCTTTTCTTGTAATTGATTCCTTTCGTTTCCCTAAGCACATAAATAGGTGGAATTATCAAAATGCCAAAAATATGAAAATAAAAGAGCAGCACTGATTGAGAAGAACATGGAATTAGATTCAGCCAGACCCAAGTTCCAGATCTGGCCCAGCTCACTAGCTGTGTTCAAATTTCTTTCTTTCTTTCTTTCTTTCTTTTTTTTCTCAGTAGAGACGGGATCTCACCGTTTTGGCCAGGCTGGTCTTGAACTCCTGACCTGTGATCTGCCCACCTTGGCCTCCCAAAGTGCTGGGATTACAGGCGTGAGCCACTGCTCCCAACCGTGTTCAAATTTCTTAATCTCTCTAAGCTTCTATTTTCTTGTCTTTAATATGGAGATAAAATAAGTCATAATATCTACCTCACAGAATTGTGACGATTAAATGAGGTGATGGATGTATAGTGTTGAACACAGTGTCAGCAGATAGGAGATGCTGTAATAGCTCTACTTCTTATTATTACAGATTTCTGTTATGATAAAGACTATATATGGCATGAAATAAGAAAGTAATTTTTTTCATTTATTTGCAGTGCTTCTTTTAAATCACATACATGTATGTATCTTTGTGCTCCTTTGATCTTTATTTCTTTATGAGTTGCATACCATTTAAATTATTGTTGAAAAGCAAGAAAATTATGTAAAAATACTGTATGGCATTATGTCCTATTTTAAAGTAGATGTATATTGAAGTTATTAAATTTTAAAGTTTTAACATTTTACTTTTTTGTGGTCTCAATTTATATACCATTTGGTTTAGTTATATACAATTATTTTTTTCAAAAGATTAATAAATCAGAGTTGTGCACATGGAAACATCTATCTGGTACCCTCACACATGGCATAGGAACACTGCTATATGCAATGTAGCAGCCCCTGCCATGGCTAAAAGATGTGTTCCTGGAATCTTCATTTGGAAATGTAATATATTTTATTTAAAATTGTGGTTAGGTCCCCAGACTACACATAAAACTGTACCGAACTCCTAATGCTGTTGAAGTAATGCAGGAAAATTTCTCATATTTCATTTCCCTTTTATAAATTCGGTGGAAAAATGAATTTTGGGTTCTAAACACCTGATTGGCAAGTAGACTTTGGAAATCTAACCCCCCACTTTAAATTAGAAACTTATGATACTGGATGTCTGAGCCACTTGCCACTTTAAGGTAATAGCACTCATTTTAATTGGTCATTTAAAAAATAGACTTGACACTTGCTTATTGATTGATTGATTGACACGGAACCTCGCTCTGTCGCCCAGGCTGGAGTGCAGTGGTGCAATCTCGGCTCACTGCAACCTCCTGGGTTCAAGCAATTCTCTGCCGTAGCCACCCAAGTAGCTGGGATTACAGGTACATGCCACTATACCCGGCTAATTTTTGTATATTTAGTAGAGGTGGGGGTTTCACCATTTTGGTCAGGCTGGTCTTGAACTCCTGGCCTCGTGATCCACCCACCTTGGCCTCCCAAAGTGCTGGGATTACAGGCGTGAGCCACCACACCCGGCTGACATTTGCTAATTTATTTTATAACTTTGTTTCTTAAAACCTGTAGCTTTATTTTAAAAAGATGATTATAATGTACTTTTATTTTCCTTCTTTTGGCAGTTCAAGTGTTTGGAGGCAAACCACAGGAGTCTCTTAACTGTGTGGAATCATAGTCCAGAGGTTTATGGCAGAGGATGCCGGATTTTTAGCATGCTGCCATCATGGAATTGCTACTTTTAAGAATAGGGGCCAGGTGCAGTGGCTCACATCTGTAATCCCAGCACTTTGGGAGGCTGAGGCAGGTGGATCACTTGAGGTCAGGAGATCGAGACCAGCCTGGCCAACATGGTGAAACCCCATCTCTACTAAAAATATAAATATTAGCCAGACGTGGTGACTGGCACCTATAATCCCAGCTACTTGGGAGGCCGGGGGCAGGAGAATCACTTGAACCCAGGAGGCTGAGGTTGCAGTGAGCCTAGATCATGCCACTGCACTCCAACATGGGCAACAGAGTGAGACTCTATCTCAAAAATAAATAAATAAATAAAAATAAATGCATAGAATAGGAAGGGAAATGCTTTTTGAATGTGAAAAGGTAGATGCTGCTTTGAAACTTGTTGCCCATTTTATTGACACCTAAACATCACTGTGATCAGTCTAGAGGGAAAGTTATAGTATACTTTTTTTCTGTAAAATATGTCAAAGCCATGTAGACTTATGAAATGTAGGAGGGATTTTAAGTTATTACCCTTTAGGGAGATAGTTGCTTACACGTGGTGCTTTTCCAAAAGCTCCACTCTTCTCGTTCTCTTACCCCTACTTGACGGCCTTATAGAAAATAACTTTCATGAATTTTGAATCAGTCCCAAAATGTGTCATTTTGCTATCGTGTGCATGTGTATTTGTGGATTAATGCCCATTTCTTTTATCTGATTACATCATTATACTGATAGGCAAAGATTACATGAAGAGTGGTTGCTGAGAGAGCAGAAGGCACAAGAAGAATTCAGAATAAAGAAGGAAAAGGAAGAGGCAGCTAGAAAACGGCAAGAAGAACAAGAGGTACAGTAGGAATCACATAACTAGTGAACAAACTGATGACTTCACCGTAATAACTCTCATGAAGAGTTGCCTATCTTGGGAGGTTGCAGCGAGCCAAGATCGTGCCATTGCACTCCAGCCTGGGCAACAGGAGCGAAGCTCCATCTCAAAAGAAAAAAAAGAATTGCCTATCTTGAACTTAAAAAAAAAAATCTTATCCAGTTTACTAGTATTTTTTAATTTTTTCATTTATGTGCCCTATATGTGAAATGTTTTTAAAAAGCATCTGAAAAAAAGTTACTTTTTCTTCCCCTTTAAAGAGAAAGTTAAAGGAGCAATGGGAAGAACAACAAAGGAAAGAGAGAGAAGAGGAGGAGCAGAAACGGCAGGAGAAGAGAGAAAAAGAGGTGATTCCTGTCCTGGGAGGATGAACACATAGCATATCCTCTGAGTATACGGAAGTGCTGTGTGATGGGTTTGAAGAACAAGCTGTAGACGTGTCAGAGTTTGGGTTTGTTTGTATTATTTCTTGTCACTTCATTTGTTTGTTTAGGAAGAATCATATTTGAGTCTAGACATACACCAGAGTTCCCTTCTGATGCTCTCCTTTGGGTCTGTGCAGTGGCAGATTCCTTAAAGTTTTCTTTAGCTTTACCGTATTTACCCTTTCTACCGGGCATTGGCAAACATTGTAAAGGGCCAGATGGTAAATATTTTAGGCTTTATGGTTTGTCTGGTCTCTGTGGCAAACATCCAGCTCTGCCAATGTACCCTGAATGCAGCCATCGATAGTATGTAAATAAATGGGTATGGCTGTGTTCCAGGAAAGCTTTATTTACAAAACAGGCAGCTGGCCCTTGCTTCAAGTTGTGTTTTTCTCAGGTTCTGCTATATATGAGTTGACTTCTTTAGAGAATAATATTTTGTTTTGTTTCCACATTTATTTAGGTCATAAGAGAACTGCTTATGACATGTCAGCAAGAATTAGAGGATTTAAGGAAATCAGGAACTCAAATATTGAGGAACTAGGAAATATTTTTTGTCATTTGTATTAAATCTTGACTTCCTCTTCAACTTAGGCTATAAAGACAATTGTAGCTAACACACACTTGCTCATTTTAAAAAAAACCTATAAGGCATATGTATGAAGATTGATTTGGTACATTTTGCTACTATTCCTTAACAGTATATTTATTTTAGAGGTATCACAGCTCATCTTCCCTTGACTGATTCATCAGGATTTATCTTTTCTGTCATATAGCTAAATTTAAATAGCATACAAATGGATAATTACCTTATAGTTGGGAAAAATGCATGTGTCTTCACCATAGTCAGTATGGGGCAGAAGCATCCTCCACGATTTTTGTTTTTTGTATCTCAAGCCATCAGTTAACTTCAATGCAGTTTTTAGACAGCCTTAAATGAACACTTATTTCCAGATGAGGCATGATCACACTTGGTTTTTAGGGGACAGAAAAATTGGAGCTTGTCATTTTTTATAGAGAGGAATTAATTCCCGTTTTAACAGTAGAGTGTTCCTCAACTGAGATCTTTCAGGAATTAGGTAACAGCTAAGGCTTGTTTTAAATGCTTTTGTTTCAGAGGACATCTGTGAGACGTTAAGGAGAAATGAGGGAAACGAAATAGATTCTAAGCTTATAAAAAGGAATCTGTAGTATGTGTTTCTGCTGTATTCTAGACACATCTCTTGTGGACAGAGACAGAGCAGTGAAAGACACAGTCCCTGCTCTCACTGAGTTACTTGTTGATATGGAAGTGTAAGATGATAAGTAAGCAAAACAGATCATTCAAAATATGATCATATTAAGTGCTATGAAGAAATAAAGCAGAGAGTGATGTGATAGAGTAAGGAGAATAGAGTTGTGCTTTTGTACATTGCCTGATCAAGGAAATCTCTGGGGAGGTGATGTTTGCACTGACATCTGAGTGCAGAGATCTCAGCGAGAAGAGGCCTAAAGCTTGAAGGCTGAAAGAAGGCTGTGGAGCCTGAAATCTAGAGTTCAAAGGAGAGAAGAGCAGTGGAGGAGGTTGGGGGAGGGGGCGATGGAGGGTAAGCAGAGTCAGATCATGGAGGGCTTCCTGGATTTGCAGGAGGAGTTTGGATTTTATGTTTCCTATAATGGGAAGCCATTGAAGGATTTTAAGCAGGGAATGACTCTGTCTCATTTATATTTGTACCTTTTAACAGATCATTCTTTAAAAAAAAAATTTTTTTTTTGAGACAGAGTTTCATGCTGTCGCCCAGGCTGGAGTGTAGTGGCATGATCTATGCTTACTACAACCTCTGCCTTCTGGGTTCAAGCAATTCATGTGCCTCAGTCCCCCGAGTAGCTGGGATTACATGTGCCTGCTACCACACCCAGCTAATTTTTATATTTTTAGTAGAGACGGGGTTTCACTATGTTGGCCAGACTGGTCTCGAACTCCTGACCTCAAGTGATTCCCCTGCCTCGGCCTCCCAAAGTGCTGGTATGAGCCGCCACACCGGACCTTTTAACAGATCGTTTTTATTTTACTATAAAAAATGAAGAATGAGGAACAGTGACCAGTTAGAAGGCCTGTAATTCCAAGTAAAGATAACTACACAGATTTGGGGTGTGTCAAGGCAGAGTCAGTGGGACTCTAGCTAGTAGATTGAATGGGAGGGAGGACAAGGAGAGAGAAGGGAATTCAAGTCATATTTTTAGGTTTTTAATTTGAATAGACATATGACTGGCAGCACTATTGACTGAGGGAGCATTCAGGTGGATGTGGGCCAGGGAGGGTAGAGGACAAGAGTTCTGTTTTGAGCACTACAAATAAGCAGCTAGACATAAGAGTCTTATGGAATGCTTTAAGGGGTTAGGGAAGATAAGACTGTCTGTTGAACATAGGTACAACTTGTTCAAATGCAATTAGGTAGAAATTTACTGGCGTGTTACAGAACCTCCTTTGCCGTATTAAAAAGTTAGAATTTTCTCCTAAATGCTAATTCCCACTGGTCATGTCATATTTTGGCTTCTGTTAAATGGGCCACCATACCCTGCTAATTTTTGTATTTTTAGTAGAGATGGGTTTCACCATGTTGGCCAAGATGGTCTCAATCTCTTGACCACCTGCCTCGGCCTCCCAAAGTGCTGGGATTACAGGCGTGAGCCACTGCGCCCGGCCGTGTTTTACATTCACTAATACCTCCTCTTACAAACTAGAACATGGTATATATGCTCAAATATACTGAATATTACTATTATTGAAACTATTATAAGACTGTTTAAAATATTTTGCAATGTGGTCTAGTAAATTTTCTATTTGAATAGAACATCTCAGTTCTGGGCTGGGCATGGTGGCTCATGCCTGTAATCCCAGCACTTTGGGAGGCCGAGGCGGGTGGGTTGCTTGAGCTCAGGAGTTTGAGACCAGCCTGGGCAACATGGTGAAACCCCATTTCTACAGAAAATACAAAAATTAGCCAGGCATGGTGGTGCACGCCTATAGTCCCAGCTACTAGGAAGGCTGAGGTGGGAGGATCAGTTGACCCTGTGAGCGGAGGTTGCAGTGAGCTGAGGTCATGCCATTGCACGCCAGCCTGGGTGACAGAGTGAGACCGTATCTCAAAAAGAAAAAAAAAAGAAGTCTCAGCTATATGTCCTTTGAAAGCTTTTCAAAAAATCTGTGCTTCAAAGGAAAACTAGAACCTGAAACCGTGTGTGCTCATGTGCATGTGTGTGTTATAATAGTTACACTTGAGTTTCTTAACCAGAGAAACCAGATGTGACTTACCTGACTTCTAGGTTTTCATTAGTCCTATGTTTGCACCATTTTTAGGAAGCTGTGCAGAAGATGCTGGATCGGGCTGAAAATGAGGTATTTTTTAAACCTTTCATTGAGAATTTGAGACCAATTAATGTTTCCTTAGAATGATAGTTCCAGTAATGTTAGTTTTGTGGTAGGTTACTTAGATCATGTTTGGATAGCTGGAATCATGTTTGTGGTCCTTTATACAATAACAACAAAATTTACTGATGAACAAATACAAATGGTATACATGACCCCTGTGGACTGGACTTGTTTAGAGTCCTTACAGTGTGTTTAAGCAGCATCACATACCGTTAGCCTCCAGTGGACGATTTACCTTGAATCAGAATAACTTCTATTTCTGTCTGTGGTGGTTCCCTAATAAGTTCTTAGACTCTTTTTTTTCTTCTTTTTTTTTTTTTTCTTTTGAGACAGAGTTTCGCTCTTGTTGCCCAGGCTGGAGTGCAATGGCATGATCTTGGCTCACCATAACCTCTGCCTCCTGGGTTCAAGCGATTCTCCTGCCTCAGCCTCCTAAGTAGCTGGGATTACAGGCACGCGTCACCACACCCAGCTAATTTTGTATTTTTAGTAGAGATGGGGTTTCTCCATGTTGGTCAGGCTGGTCTCAAACTCCTGACCTCAGGTGATCCGCCTGCCTCGGCCTCCCAAAGTGCTGGGATTACAGGCATAAGCCACCATGACCAGCCTTCTTGGACTCTTTTTAGAATGGATGGAAACCTTGGTGGCTGCCCTTGGTTGCAGTAGTGATGCCAGATAAAGAAACGTTACCAGGAGCCAAAAGAGAAATGGAGCTCATATCTTAGTACGGTTGTTTGTAAAGTCTTGATTGCCTATTACAACTTAAATGTTTGCATTTTTAAATGAAAAATGTTTATCTTTGAGAAAAATATTTTAATATACTTTGAAACATTTAGTCTTTCATGGGTTTCTACACCACCAGTAAAGTCATGGTTATTTTTAACAGTTGGAAAATGGTACCACATGGCAAAACCCAGAACCACCCGTGGATTTCAGAGTAATGGAGAAGGATCGAGCTAATTGTCCCTTCTACAGTAAAACAGGAGCTTGCAGATTTGGAGATAGGTAATTTTGTTTTATCATGTCAGAATGAAGTGATTCAAAATGTTGAAGTTTTCGAGTTCTCCTTTTGGGAGAGGCACAAGCCTCGGTTTCAGATGTCTGTCATCAGACAGCTGCTGCTTTCTTACCACTGCTCTCATTTTCCAGCTGACCATCCTCTGCTTTGACCATCCCTGTTCCTTCTATGTTTGTTCCCTGGGTGGGCTTAGCCTAGTTCTCTGAGGGTGCTTCCTTTCTATTCCACATCTTTAGGAAGCCCTTTTGCTTGTTGGTTTCTTCCTGAGCTTGCATTAGTCCATGGTGGACCACTGGGATGGGGAAATAATATATTTGAAGAGCTTGGAGCAGCTTGACTTTATTTTTTGAAGGGCAAACACTGTGCCCAAACCAGGCTTTTTTTTTTTTTTTTTTTGAGACAGAGTCTTGCTCTATCGCCCAGGCTGGAGTGCGGTGGTGTGATCTCGGCTCACTGCAACTTCTACCTCCCGGGTTCAAGTGATTCTGTTGCTTCAGTCTCCCATGTAGCTGGGACTACAGGCATGCACCACCATACCGGGCTAATTTTTTGTATTTTTAGTAGAGACGGGGTTTCACTGTGTTAGCAAGGATGATCTCGATCTGACCTCGTGATCTGCCCACCGCAGCCTCTCAAAGTACTGAGAGTACAGGTGTGAGCCACTGCACCTGGCCAACAGGCTTTTAAAACTTGGCATGTGCTAGGAGTTCCAGGCTGCAGTAGGCTATGATCACACCACTGTACTCCAACCTGGGTGACAAAACAAGACCCTGCCTCAAAAAATGAAAAACCCCAAAAAAACTTGTCATGTGAAAAGGGATATCTGTGAAAGACAGGATCCAAATGAGGAGAGGAAAAGTGTTTTAATTTCTAGTGTCAGTGAGTGTGCTCAGACTCAGCAACAGACCCCTGGGTTCAAAAATGGGCTTCAGTGGCTGTCACTGTGAAAGTTGCTTAAGCTCTGTGTGCCTTCATTCTCTCATGTGTGAAATGGGATTAAATATAGTCTCATCTTTCTGAGGGGGCTGTGAGGCTAAAATGAGCACACACGTGGGAAGCCGGGAGAACAGGGCCCCGGGAGTGCTTGCTGGTATTTTCATTATTGTGAATCTTGATTATTCTCTGAGGCACTCTTCTTGTTCCCTGCCCCTTTTGGGTCAATGTTTTTGAAGGAAGACATTCATGTGGAAACCTGGTGTTGATATCCTCGGTCATTTAGCAAGTGTTTGAACACCTATTATATGCCAAGTAATGGTGATTTTTATAATTTGACTTGTTTATAAATGAACAACTTAAAGTAGGTAAATAATTCCTAATGGTGAATGAGTCCATCTGATGCAAAATCTAATAATTATCACCATATATTCTGCAGAAGAGATCTAATCATAACCTTAACATCCTATTAATCCTTAAAAGGGATATGAATAGTAAAATTCAGATGTATTTAATCAGAAAGTGTATGTCATCTGTCAGGTTTACTTTATTCATAAAAGTTTCCATGCTGTGAGGATTTCTTTCCCTTCTTCTTTGAAAATATAGCCTTCTCTATGATTCTCTTCTTTTTCTTTTTTAATTTAAGTGTTCATACCATTTTTATTTTTTATTTATTTATTTATTTTTTGAGATGGAATTTTACTCTTGTTGCCCAGACTCGAGTCCAATGGCACGATCTTGGCTCACCCCAACCTCTACCTCCCAGGTTCAAGCAATTCTCCTGCCTCAGCCTCCCAAGTAGCTGGGATTACAAGCATATGCCACCACACCCAGCTAATTTTTTATCTTTAGGAGAGGTGGGATTTCACCATTTTAGGCTAGTCTCAAACTCATGACCTCAGGTGATTCACCCACCTTGGCTTTATAATCTTGGCCTACTAAAGTGCCAGGATTATAGGCGTGAGCCACCGTGCCTGGCCATTTTTCATTTTTTAACAGTGGTTCTCAATCCTGGATGCACGTTAGAGTCATCTAGAAAGCTTTAAAAAATTATGTCCTACTTCAGGTTGAGTAAATCAGAATATCAGGGTTGGGCGTGGTGGCTCACACCTGTTATCCGGGGACTTTGGGATGCCAAGGCAGGCAGATTGCTGGAGCTCGGGACTTGGAGACCAGCCTTGGCAATACGGTCAAACCTCACCTCTGTAAAAATAAAAATAATAATAAATAAAAGAATATCAGGGATTTGGGTGGCATTAGCTTGGAAATGTCCTCGGGTATTTCTAGTGCCCTAGGATTGAGAGCCACTAATGTCGAGTATGTATGCCCTTTTGTATTTTAGAGGTGGGATTGCAGATGTCCAGAATGTCTGTGAAAAGATTCACAGGATCTACAAACTAGTAGACAGCCTCCTCTTGAAAAACTGGGAACTAAGAAAAGGAAACAGTCTTTATTCCCTTCGGTACCTTTAGAAGCGTTTCTCAAATATGCACTTAATCTGAGCAAGAAACGGTAATAATTGATCGGTGTAAAAAACTTCCCACCAAAGAAAAATGCACTGCGAGTTAACCTTTCAGAGACAACTGAGACTCTATGTAAGTTCACATTTGCGTGGGTAGTTGAACCAAATTGCAGTTAAGGTTTTCCAGCAGGATCCCTCATGTAGGATCTAGCTCTAATGTTTCCTCTAAAGCTAAGACCCATGGTAGCCTGATTCTTGATTCTCCTTTTGTTGGGCCTAAGTGAGAGGAGGGGAGATGTCTTAAATGATTTCGAGAACTTGGTTGACAGGCCCTTCCTTGCGGAAAGAGGGAATGGCCTGTCATGCTCTCAGACTCCATCTCCTCAACTCAGTTCAGGGAAATAGGGACAGTGGTCAAATTCATTTGTGAACATTTCTTATAATTTTTATAGCTATATGAAATTTCACTCTCACAGCTATCAAAGTAAGAGAGCAATGTGGAGATTTTCATCATTCAAGAGGTAAGTTGTGCATAAACTTCTGTGAAATTAGCAGTTACAAAATCCAGCACCATCCCTTTAGACAAGTAGACCATTCCGTTCCCTTTTCTGGAGAGCCTTGGTGACTTGCTCCAGGTTGTATAGCCGTTCCGCTCTGTCATTAAGTTTTGTCAGGCCAGCAGAGGAACACTTCTATCCCCTGAGCATTTCTTTAGTTGGTTATTTTTGTAATTAGTACAGAGTTCAGTTCTTGAGCCATTCTGGAATTGGTGTTTGTGGAGTCACAGCTTTGAGGGGAATCTATTTCTTTTTCTCCTAAAAGCTAATAATTTCTCATGGAAGGTAAAACTTACTGGTCTATTTATAACTCACTTACTTCCAAAAGTGATTTAAAGAAGGCTCATGATCTAGTGCATTAAGTTAAAGGAAATTGAAAGCAAGGAGAGGAAGGAAAAGAGAATTATTTTCTCTGGGTTTTTATTTCTCCATATTTGAATGCATCTCAAGCAGATCATAAGCTGTAATTCTTACCAGAAAGGAAGAATGAGTGATAGCTCTAGAAAGACGAAAATTTTCCTGGCACCAGATTCTAAAGGTTTCTCCTGTGGAATATTTGACAAAGATGTTAAATAGGAAAGTGGATAATAACGCTAAGAGATGTTTTATAACAGTTGCGTATGTAATTTTCATGAGAATGTTTCTTATAGTGACCTTCAATAAATGATTGCAGCTTAACTTTATTTGTTTATTAATTTGATGCAGTCTTGCTCTGTCGCTCAGGCTTGAGTGCAATGGCACAATATCGGCTCACTGCAACCTCCACCTCCAAGGTTCAAGCGATTTTCCTTCCTCAGCTTCCCGAGTAGCTGGGATTACAGGCATGTGCCACCATACCCAGATACTTTTTTATATTTTTGGTAGAGATGGGGTTTGACTATGTTGGCCAGGCTGGTCTCGAACTCCTGACCTCAAGTGATCCTCCCACCTCAGCCTTCCAAAGCGCTGGGGTGACAGGCATGAGCCACCGCGCCTGGCCTGCAGCTTCACTTTAACATGCAATGTGGTGATTCTATGTAGGACAAAGGTAGTGGGTACCAGGAGTACTTCCTTGAGACGAAGAAGAAGAGTAGTCAGTTAGCTATACCTGGGAAGGCACTTGGATACCCACACCGTTTATTGGCCATCCTTGGCCTAAAGTAATATCCAACAACCATGGGTTTTTACATCAAAGTGACTTAAGTGTCAGAATAATGGGTAAATAGTATGCCCTAAACCGGTGGTTCCCAAATATGGCTGATCTTCAGGACTAGGTAGGGAGCTACTTTGAAAATATGGGTCCCCCACCCCTTGAGGTCTGATCAGATGGTCTAGGGTAGGAAGAAATCTGTTCTTCCCAGGTCATTCTGGGAACTACCACAGCTTTAGGCTGCCTTCGTAAATGTCACTTCTCTTAGCTGACTTTTCAGTAAAAGCTATAGGGCTGGCCTTTTGTATACACTTAGATTATAAGGATTGTCTTTAGGTCAGGTGGGATTTTTCCCCAGACAGGGACTTCATTTCTATTCCAAAACTGACAAATGCTTATTTGACATCCTGGGAACTAGGCCCAAGTTCATTCAGATCTAGGAATTCCCTGAGCAGAATTTTAACCTCATTAAATTGGTTCCGTTTTAAATTGTGTTCTTCTTACTTATAACATTTTGATTAGCTGTTAGTGTTGAGTCTTCGCTCTTTATTCTCTCAGTAGTTGGGAAGAGGGATCTAATTACAAGGTCTCTAATTGAATAATCCAGGAGGTCATTTGGAAAATAGAAAATTTCATGTTAATGAACATTGATTAAGCATTTCTGAGCTGAGCATGATGTATGCTGGGTATTCTGTAAGTATTACCTCAATAGGTACCTAGAGAGACATAAACATTTAGTCACTTCAGGGCCATTGTTGTTTTTTTCCCAACACATCCTATTCTTCAACTTTCTTTCTTCCTAAATTCTGTGGATTTCCCCCCCACCCAAAAAAATTTGTCTTACCAATTTTTAACTGGCAACATAACCAGGAAAAGTTTGCTTATTTGTAAGCTTGAACTACATTTCCCCCCTCATTTTATGTTAGGAGAAGGAAGTAAATAAGAAAGTAAACTCATATGAAGGATGTTTGAAATATTATTCAGGTACAGCCTGGTCAGCTTAGCCTTGGTCCAGTTTAAACTATGAGAAGAAAATTGTTCTTCACAATGGTTAGCCACCTTCCTTAAATAACAGTTAAATGATGCAGCTACGGTAGCTCACACCTGTAATCCCAGAGCTTTGGGAAGCCGAGGCAGGAGGATCACTTGGAGCCAGGAGTATGAGACCAGCCTGGGCAACATAGCGAGACCCTGTCCCTACAAAAATAAAAAAATTAGCTGGGAGTCGTAGCATGCACCTGTGGCATGCACCAGCTACTCAGGAGGCTGAGGCAGAAGGATCACTTGAGCCCGGGGAATCCAAGGTTGTAGTGAAGTATGATTATACCATTGCACTCCAGCCTGTGTGACAGAACAAGACCCTGTCTCAAAAACAAATTATATTTCTTATGCCCTATCATGAACAGGTGCCAGATTGTAGATTAATGCAAATATCTTGGATCACTCTCTCCCCAGCCATATGACATGGGCAAGTGTGCTTTTCTAGCTCTCAGCTTCCTTCTTTGTAAAGTGGAGAAAATACTAGCCCCCATTGTCCTAGAGGGATACAAGGATCGGAGGGGAAAAATGTAAAAATGCCGTGAAAGCTACAAGATGCTGTACACAGATGAGACTGAATTGCTTCATTAACTGGAAATTCTTGGATTACCCTATTGTCTAAACATTGAGTCCACCAACAACTGTACAGAACCAGGATTGCATTGTTAGTTCCCAGCTTCCTCTCAGCAGTCCCACATGTGACATCTTCATGTGTATCACACATCCCGTCACACCAGTCAGCGGGCCTTCTTTTCCCCTATGGTTCAACATGTATAAAGCTTCCTGAACTTCATTCAAAGGCAGCTGAATGGTATGTGAACTTTGAAATCTTTCCAGCTTGACGTTAAAATAGCAAGTGCCAAGTTTCAGCACTTAAAACAATCCTCTTAAGTGCTGAAACTTGGCATCTGTGTGGGGTTTATTATCTTTCAGTTAAGTCAAAACAACTAAATTCCATGAGTTTCTATCTCAAAATTTAAAGCATGTGTTTTGTGTGTAATTTTAAATTATTGGTCTAGTGAATTTAAGTTTTTCTTTCATCTGCAGATGTTCACGTAAACATAATTTCCCAACATCCAGTCCTACCCTTCTTATTAAGAGCATGTTTACAACATTTGGAATGGAGCAGTGCAGGAGGGATGACTATGACCCTGACGCAAGCCTGGAGTACAGCGAGGAAGAAACCTACCAACAGTTCCTAGATTTCTATGAGGATGTGCTGCCTGAGTTCAAGAACGTGGGGAAAGTGATTCAGTTCAAGGTGGGCATGCGTGTGGAGGGGACTGCTTTGCTTCACCTTGCAGTACTTAATGGCATAAGAGAGCTGGGACACAGGCTCAGCTGGGGTCAGGCACGCTGGCACTCTGTAAACGTGATTTTCCTCTTTCTCTTTCCACTCCCTACCTCGTTGCCAGTGTCGCATCAATACCACATGAAATCATAAATGTGTACTAGCATGGTATTTCCTGAATGCTGAGGGTGTAGATTGGAAAGGATCTTTCATTTATTTAGTAGCTTTGTTCTCTGATTCTTTTCCAACACACGAATTCTCTGTATCAGGTCCCCTGCACATAGCCATCCAATCCTTCACTTAGAAGCTACATGTGACAAATGGTACATTCCCTTCCTTCCTCTGTAGGTGGCTTCCATGTACACAGTGTGACACAATTTTCACTCACTAAGTTTGTTGGTGCATTATGTTGACAGTGCCGAGTTGCAGCTTCCACCCAGGGTGTATGTTCTTTCTTCTAGAGCCACACAGAAACATAAATCATAAATCTGGATTCAAACCCCCTCTTGCCTTTTTTTTTTACATTGATTTTATTCATTGGATACTTTCAGTACTAAATATAGTATTATAAAAACCGTGGTCTGTGATGCAGCATACTTGCTGAAAAAGGCATTCAGATTACACTTAATTATTTTAAAATATGTCTTAATCCAAGGCCAAGGCCAGATGTAATCTCTGCTGCTCCTAGAACCCATTAGTTGAATTCTAACAGGGTGAAGCTTCCTGCCTTGTCTATGATTTCATCAGATCTGAACTGGAATGCCTTTATTATGTTGAGGCAAGGAAATCGTCCTGTAATTTGGGAAAAGACGGGAATGAAACCGTAATTTTTTTTCCTGCTAGTTGCAAATGATGATGAAAAGTTGGAACACCCCCCAAAAAACAAAGATATTCCTGACATTTAAGGTTATACTTCTATCAACTGATTCTAAGATTTTAAAAAATTCTTTCATTTTTTTTCTCCTTAACCTTTTGTTTCTGTGGCATATGCCTTCCTGTTTTCACACTACTTTTTAGCACAAGCAATAACCAGTAAAGTGGAACTGCCTGGTCACACCCACATAACATTATGTTAGAAGCCGGCAGAAGAGGCCATGTGGTTTGACTAGACCTGTGCTCTTGAACAAGTCTTATCACTTCTTCCTGCCTTTTCTTTATCCTGAAAGTGAGGGGATTGGATTACATCAGTGGTTTTCCTCGTAGGGTTTCTTGATTATACTGCTTCTGTGAAGCGGTAGTGGGGCTGCTTTCAAAACTTCACACTAGTTCATGGAAATTGCACCATTGCTTGCAACAGGCTGCACCCACAAACCACAACTACCACAGCGTATTTTTTCTTTTGTTTAGAGTTCTCTCACTCTAGCTTGCACAGCTGACATGGACTCCTGAAGCTTTTTATTCTTCCTTCTAAGGGTGATGTTACAAACTGTCACTGAGTGTGGATCCTGCCCCTTTTTGGATACCCTAAGAAAAATACTCTGGAACAAATTTGTAAAATTATAGATTCATTTTGAACATAAATTATAAACACTAGTATGAATATTTGAGGACCTTTCTTTATACTAATATATAAAAACAAATCAGATTTGTCGTTGTTGAAGGCAAATTATCACATATTTAACCTAACCAGTAATAGGAACAGTATACATATAAAAACGGGATGATATTCACACCTATCAGGCAAAAATATTATAAACTCTGTTAATACCAAGAGTAGATGAGGATGTGTACATTAGTAAAAACCATCTCAGAGAGCAGTTTGTCTATACCTAGTGAAGGTACGTGTAACCTATAAACTGGCACACTCCTGGCTATGCACAGTAGGGAGAGATCTTTATACCCACAGAGACCTGTTCGAGAATGCTGACTGCAGTACTCTTTGTGGATGAAGACTTGGAAGCAGCTTGAAAAACCATCATTAGAGGAATAGATAAGTTTTATAATTTGGTGTATCCAGTATACAGTAGTTAAGATGAATCATTAAGTTTACGTGACTACATCTTGAAAACAGAATGTGGAATAAGTATTATTTATGTAAAACTTTGAAACATACAAAGCAATACTATATGTTATTTATCAATACATATTACCTGTTTCTTCTTGCATATATATACATAAATATGTGTATACCCATTATAAATAATAGACATTTATGTATATGATACATGTGTGTGGTTTTTGGCATGCATATGATGTATGTATATATGCCTGTATCTGTGTATTTGCATCTGTGTCTTTGTAGGTCTGTGTATGGATATGTGTGTTTGCATTTGGAATGTGAAGACTACACTTAGCCTGTGGAGAGTGCTCACCAGTGTGTTGGAGGGAGAAGAATGGGCTAGAAGGGCTTCAACTGGGTCTTTAATGTTTTACATATTTAAATATTCTCATTCAAGAGTGGAAAACGTTAGTGTTAAATCTAGGTAGTGTATATATAGGCTGAATGATGTATTCTGTATTTTTATGCATGTGTGAAACATTTCATATTTGTGGGAAAAAGCAGACCTGGACCAACAGGGATCAGGCACGCTGCCATGTGCCAAGTAAGCCTTAAATAGATACAAGACTCAGCTAGTATCTCTATTTTGGAATCTTCGATTGGTAACTACTTTGGGGAATGTTAGCCTGGACAAACTACCTTTGGTGAATGGCTAGTTTCTTTTACTGAGTTTTTTATGATAGCATTCTTCATTGCTCCCTAGGTCAGCTGCAATTTGGAACCTCACCTGAGGGGCAACGTATATGTTCAGTACCAGTCGTAAGTATTTTGCTTGTGAATGTCTTCCTGTTTTGTCACAGTTTGTTGTTCTGTTTTTGTTGATGTCTTGGATGTTTCTACTGGATGTATAGCTTTCGTATGTTTTATTTATTATTATTATTATTTTTAATATTTATTTTTTTCTGAGATGGAGTCTCGCTCCGTCGCCCAGGCTAGAGTGCAATGGCGTGGTCTTGGCTCACTGCAGCCTCCGCCTCCTGGGTTCAAGCGATTCTCCTGCCTCAGCCTCCCTAGTAGCCAGGATTACAGGTGCCTGCTACCATGCATAGCTAATTTTTGTATTTTTAGTAGAGACAGGGTTTAACCATGTTGGCCAGGCTGGTCTCAAACTCCTGACCTCGTTATCCACCCCCCTGGCCTCCCAAAGTGCTGGGCTCACAGGCGTGAGCCACTGAGCTTGGCCTTACTGTTTTTTGAAATGGAGTTTCACTCTTGTTGTCCAGGCAGGAGTGCAATGGTGTAGTCTCAGCTCACTGCAACCTCTGCCTCCCAGGTTAAAGCAATTTTCCTGCCTCCACCTCCCTGGTAGCTGGGATTACAGGTGCCTGCCACCACACCCGGCTAATTTTTTGTATTTTTAGTAGAGATGGGATTTCACCTTGATGACCAGGCTGATCCTGAACTCCTGACCTCAGGTGATCCATCCACCTCAGCCTCCCAAAGTACTGGGATTACAGGCATGAGCCACCACGCTTGACCCAGCTTTCATATATTTTAAAATATTTTAAACTATTTAAATAAAATTTAAATAAATCTAAATATTTAAAATGTAAGTAGTAAGAGTTGAAACAGAAATATAGAATGGATTTAAAAATAATATAAGCTGAGGATGGTGGCTTATGCCTGTCATCCCAACACTTTCGGAGGCTGAAGTAGGAGGATCACTTGTGGCCAGGAGTTCAAGACCAGCCTGGTCAACATGGTGAAAAATACAAAATATTAGCTGTGCGTGGTGGTTGGTGCCTGTAATCCCAGCTACTCAGGAGGCTGAGACAGGAGAATTGCTTGAAGAGAGACCTCATTTCTACAAAAAAATTTAAAAATTAGCTAAGTGTGGTGGCATGTGCTGGTAGTCCAAGCTATGTGTGAGGCTGAGGCAGGAGGATCACTTGAGTCCAGAAGGTTGAGGCTACAGTGAAGTATGACTGCACCACTGCCCTCTAGCCTGGGGGACAGAGTGAGAGTGAGACTCCGTCTCAAAAAGAAAAAATAATACATTTGTATTTCATTCTTCATATATTTACATAGTTTTGAATGTTTTACAATATGGTTATATTATTACTCATAATTTTAATAATTAAAAGGTATAACTGGAATAGAGAACATAAAAGTATAGTGAAAGAGCCAGAGATTGAAGCCCAAAATCATCTTAGTGTGCATTTGACCAGCTAAGAGAGCAATTTCTGTATCATTTCTGCTTATCTTGCTGTTTGCCTAGGCCATCCCATGGCTAATGGGTTAAATTAACCAGCGTAATAAGTAGAATAGCAATCCTGTCTGAGAAAAGAATAACCCCTAACAATGGAAAACACTGCTGCATTTTTAATGCTCCTATCTTTTGGATTAAGAAACTTTGATTCAAGCCAATTTCCATGCATTGAAACCTCTCCGAGGGTTAGTAAAAAGGGTTCCGGAATACATTGTGAGCTTTGAGAGCTTGACTGTTTCAATGCCTCCTCCCTAGGTACAAAATCAGTGAAATTGGTGGTCCTAGAATAAATTAATAACAGGGTTAGTGAATAGCAGGGCTAATCTACATATTAGGAAGTTATTGTAAAGCTTATCATTTGATTTTTGGTTTAAAGGGAAGAAGAATGCCAAGCAGCCCTTTCTCTGTTTAACGGACGATGGTATGCCGGACGACAGCTTCAGTGCGAATTCTGCCCCGTGACCCGGTGGAAAATGGCGATTTGTGGTAAAAGACAGTGATGATTTTTTTCCTCAGTTGTTCCTCTGCTATGTAAAGGGATATTCTTGGGGCGGGGGGGGAACCCAGTATTCTGAAGTGGTGAGGCATAGCTTTTTGCCTCACACAGTAGATGAGCAGAGATCTTTTATGAAGAACACCACAGTTTAGATCTTTAACCAACCTCATGAGTCACTTGATGGATGAAGTGACTGAGGTCACAACGTATCTGTGACAGAGTTGGGGCTAGAATCCAGTCTTCTGATCTTCAGTTCTGGGCTCTGTCTGACAAATCAGGAAGCCTGAGGAGTTCCATCCGTGGGAAGCCCCATTTCCCCGGTTGCAGTTTCAGAGGCATTTGCTATTCATTGGCTCTCCTCGCTTGAGCTGTTTGTCTGTTTCTTTCCATCTTTGTCCCTAATGAATCTTCTGTCACTGCCACCTACATTACCTTACCCATAGAATTTCCTGCCTTACTTGGAATACCTGCTTTTGTACACTAGAGGCTAATTGTAGGCTTGGGATCAGTTAAACATGCATTCAGTCAGACTGATATCAGACGGTGGCAACCCCGTCAGGAAATGATCCAGTCTTGTGCAGAGAGTAGCCAGCAGTTTTGAAGGCCTCGTTATGTTCTGATTTCTCTCAGTGGGCCATTCCCCAGGTGAAAAGAGATGAGCTCTAAATGCCTCTGGGGAGCACTTACCTTACCCTTTACTTGTGTTTCTTTGCTCTGTACATGCCTGCTTAACACAAAGTCAGGATCTTTGTCTTCCTGGATGCTGTCATTTTGAAACCACTTATGAAGGGAAAAGAAAGGTCTTAGGATTCCTTGCTAAGGGAAACCAGAAGAACCATTACACCTTAACTTTAAAGGCTCAGGGGATGAAAGAGAGAGAATTGTTTGCTTCAAAAAGGCAGTTACTTCTGTCAGTTCCTGGACTCCAGTGTGATTTCAATGAGGAGCTTCTGAGTCTGACTTTGACTCTTCCAAAGGACGGGACTTGCAAAAAAAAATACAGAAAAACTTTATTTTCCTTATTGGCTAAAGACACTGAGCATCTTTTCCTGTCCTTATCATTGGCCATTTGTATGTCTTTGGAGAGATGTCTGTTTGGATCCTTTGCCCATTTTTTAACTAGGATCTTTGTCTTTTTATTATTGAGTTGTAAGAATTCTTGGTATATTCTTCATACAAGTACCTGGTCACAAATACGATTTGCAAATATTTTCTCCCATTTTGTAGGTTGTCTTTTTACTTTGTGTTCTTTTGAAATACACAGTTTAAATCTGGATGAAGTCCAATTTACCAATTTTTTTGTTTGTGCTTTTGGTGTCACATCTAGGGTGACATTGCTTATCCCAGGGTCACAAAGATTTACTTGTATGTTTTCTTCAGAGTCATAGTTTCATTTCTTAACATTTAGGTCTTGGATCCAGTTTGAGTTAATTTTTGTAGATAGTGTGTAGTACGGAGGTATTTCACTTCTGTTGTGCATATCTGAGGAATTTACTGCTTTAAAAAATAGTTTGAGAACCCCAAAGATCTCAAAATTGTTCAAATAGATATTTGATAAGAGTCTTCTGTATTAAAACCACTTAGTGAATTTGAGACATAGTGCAATGTTTATCATCTTAAAGTATAAAGAAAATATAGATTCCTCCATGTTTAATAGGCTTTCTCTTTTTTTTTTTTTTGAGACAGAGTCTTGCTCTGTTGCCCAGGCTGGAGTGCAGTGGCATGATTTCAGCTCACTGTAACCTCCGCCTCCTGGGTTTAAGTGATTCTCATGCCTCAGCCTCCTGAATAGCTGCGATTACAGTTGCCTGCCACAATGCCCAGCTAATTTTTGTATTTTTTAGTAGAGACAGGGTTTCACTATGTTGGCCAGGCTGGTCTCAAACTCCTGACCTCAGGTGATCTGCCTGCGTCTGCCTCCCAAAGTGCTAGGATTACAGGTGTGAGCCGCCACGCCCGGCCAGGCCTTCTCTTTTGACCAGTGGTTCTGGCCTACCGCCTCCATGCCCTCAAACCACCCTACCACAGGAACCCAAAGAGCTGACTCTTTGATGTTAATCAGGGATCAAAATCGTCAATCAGTGGGATGGTGAAACCCTGGAAAAGATAACGTGGTCACCGTTTTGTTCAGTTGCAATCTGCACCATAATCCAATAGGAGCACGAGCTGTTCTGCTTAATGAAAACTTCGGATTTGTTACCTTTCAGAGTGTCATTTGTTAGAGCACTTTTGAAATTGTGGAAACCAAATTATGACATCAATTTGTGTAAGCCCCTTTTACATAATACACAGGTAGAAAATAATTCTAGCATATCCAAACATCAGAAATATACCTTCTGAAAAGGATAAAGTAGCATCTTCAGAACATGCAGTGATAAGTGCTGTTTTATCACTGTGCCATTGCAGGTTTATTTGAAATACAACAATGTCCAAGAGGAAAACACTGTAACTTTCTTCACGTGTTCAGAAATCCCAACAATGAATTCTGGGAAGCGAATAGAGACATCTACTTGTCTCCAGATCGGACTGGCTCCTCCTTTGGCAAGAACTCTGAGAGGAGGGAGAGGATGGGCCACCACGACGAATACTACAGCAGGCTGCGGGGAAGGAGAAACCCAAGTCCAGACCACTCCTACAAAAGAAATGGGGAATCCGAGAGGAAAAGGAGTAGTCACAGGGGGAAGAAATCTCACAAACGCACATCAAAGAGTCGGGAGAGGCATAGTTCACGCAGCAGAGGAAGAAATAGGGACCGCAGCCGGGGCCGGGGCAGCCGGAGTCAGAGCCGCAGAAGCCGCCGCAGCCGGAGCCAAAGTTCCTCTAGGTCCCGAAGTCGTGGGAGGAGGAGGTCAGGTAATAAAGACAGAACTGTTCAAAGTCCCAAATCCAAATAAATTTGTTTTGTTCTTAAATGATTGTATATCTTATTTATTGTGGTTGCTACATACTCGGATAGAAGGCTATGAATGCAGACGGGTTTGCAAGTCTGACTGACCCCTATGTAGCCTGGAATTCTATTTAAAAATATTTTTGGTCTCTCATAATCATGAAGTATGTTTAGTATAGAAAACATAAAATATGTAAATAACAACATGAAAATTACATGTAATCCTAACCCTGAGAGATAACTAAACATTGGAGCATTGTTTCAGTGTGTATACTTTTTTCTTTTTCTTTTTAGAGATGGGTTTTCACGCTGTTGCCCAGGTGGGAGCAGTGGCATGATCATAGCTCACTGCAGCCTCAAACACCTTGGTTCAAGCGATCTTCCTGTCTCAGCCTCCCAAGTAGCTGAGACTACAGGTACACACTACTACACCTGGCTAATTTTTAAACATTTTTTTGTGGAGACTGGGTTTTGCCATGTTGCCCAAGCTGGTCTTGAACTCCTGGGCTCAAAGAATCCTCCCACCTTGTCTTCCCAAGTGCTGGGATTATAGGTGTGAGCCACCACACCCAGCCCTATGTACACTTTTTTTTATACAAAGAACATATATGAATGCAGTTGAATATGCTTTTATTCATGAGAAGCAGTCATTTCATCAAACCCTGTTCTTCATTTTACTCACTGCACAGTATGGATCTACCAGTTTTTGCAACCATATTCTTTGTTAGATTTTAAATTTTGCGCTATTAAAGAATCCTGTGCTGAAAACAATCCTGTGATGAATTTTCTTAAATACTTCCATGTATTTTTTATCATTTCCTTAGCATAAATTGTATCGAGGAGATGAATACTAAAATATTTCCAAGTTGCCTGCCAGACCACAAAACATTTATGTCAACAATAAACTTTGCTGCTCCCACTGTGCCAAGTAATTTTAATCCTTATCAATTTGATAAATTTTATGTGTTCGTGTATTTAATGTTTTTTGATTCTTGTTTGCCCCCTACCCCTTTTTTTAGAGACAAAGTCTTGCTATGTCGCCCAGGCTGGAGTCCAGTGGCTGTTCACATAATCATTGTGTGCTATAGCCTCAAACTCCTAGTCTCAAACAATCCTCTTGGCTCAGCCCCCTGAATAGCTGAGACTACAGGTGAGCGCAACTGTGCCCTGCTTGTTTGCTGTTTATTAATAATCTATTGAATTTTTCTATATGTAATAGTTGAACAGCTTTTTTGCTTTAAAGTTCATTTTCTCAGCTTTAAAGTACTGAAGGGCAAAGTCCATTTTTTTTTCCTCCTACTCTTCAGCTGGGGGCTGTCATGGTATACTTTTTTAAATAGTGTGTTGGAAAGTTCTTTATATAGGAGTAAAGCTGGTTTCTGTCATTTCCAGGAATATTAGGGTCATTGCTACTAAATATGCCTAGTGCTAAAGCAATCCTGATATAAAAATTAGAATGGTCAGAGAATAGAACCTAGTGCAGAAAAAGCTTCAGGCAAAATATTACACCTGGACACAAGCTTTATCAATTTTTATAACTTTCTTTCCACTGACATACTTGGGATCTTGAATTTTGGAGTATGTGACATTTGTTAATTTGACATTTGGGAATAAGGACTTAAAAGATACACAAAATACTGAAATATTAATGAAATTTAGATAGGAAGAAAGTTTCTTCAAAATTGGGATTTCTGCATGATATCTGTTAAGGATGAGAGTTCTTTAATGTGTAGTCAATAAAAGAAATCATGCACGTGGTCTAGGAGAATTTCACTTTAAAAAATCGGATTTGTTCCAGACTCTGAATGCCTGCTTCTTCGTGAAAATGACTGAACTATATCTACTACTGGTTTCAGTAATGCTGAGTAATTATCATTAAATCCAGTATTTGATACTTTTCTAAATATGATCAAGATGTATGTATTTAAATGTGGTCCACAAAGCTGAAATCTTAGTAGATCCTGGAGGATAAGAAATTTCAAAAACCACCATCTTGAGCTCAAGACAACTGAAATATTGATGACTTTCCCCTCAAATGTTAATAGGCAGTGGTAGGGTAGAAGGGCAGGAAGTTTTTAAACCACTGACTGGTTCATTATCCTGCTAAATGTCCATCTTTAACTTAAATTTATTAATGGTTTTTATATATATTGTCTGATTACAATTTATATTTCAAAAATTCCAACTATACGTTGCTGGCAGAAGCCCCCAGGCCTGTTTTCAGTAAATAGCTAGCTGCATATTGCAGGCTTTTTAAACCTATAAATGTCTTTTTTTCCAGTAGACTAGCAATTTAATTTGATGGTAGGTCCTGCCTCCTCATAAATATCCCAGTTTTAGGATGTAGCATTTCCTTTCTGTGGTAATAGGAGGTCCCTTAACTATCACGATAGCCATAGATTTGATTTGTTGCATACACTAGCAACAAATATACTACATAGTTGGCAAACATTAGTTACTTTCTGTTGTGTGCTAGCACTTTCAGTTCACAAGGGGGTAAGAGGAATCCAGTTGATTTGAAATACCTTTTGATTACCTGGAATAATCTGAGTTGTTCATTCAGAAAGCGTAGAAAAGTCAACTGCATCAAGGTTTTAAAAGCAGCATTTATTGATTGAAAATAAATGTGTAGATAAGCTCACAACAGCATGGAATCCATGTTATTTAATGAAGTACATGAAGACTCCTTCGATCTTCCACCATGTATCTTGTGTGTGCTTATAACAACCACCATATTCAAATGGAGGGGAATTTTCAATATTTTACTGAAAAAAAATTAAGAAATTCTTTCTTCAGCAGCTCTCCATAGTTTGACAAACTTTTGGAAAGAGATAAAAACACACTCCAGTATTTGTACATTGAACGTTTATTTCAACTAATTGGCAAAGTGATAAGACAGTGCTCACGTGGCCTGAATATTGGTCACAATCACAACAAAGCTTAATCCAGCCCAGCATATACAAGTGAAAGTATAAACCATGAAGACATGTTTAGATATGTGTAAGTACTTAGAAAAGTGACGCTGAACAATTATATAGCTTTAAAAAATATAGGGCCAACTAATGCCATTTTACCTCATTCAACTCTCACTTTTTTATATGAAACATGTCTTTAAATTTTTATAAGACTTCTGTTAACTAGGCAGTGCCAGAAAGAAAGGAAGCTGCGGTAAAGTTTGCAGCACTTCTAAGTGGAGGGAAGCAAATAGGGAAGCAAAATAAATTTGGCATTAACAAGCATCCCAGAAGGAACATTCGTGCTTTAAACAATGACTTTACACATAACACTGTGAAGAGAGCAACATGTTTTCTGTAAGACACTGTTAAGAAGAATTCCTGGCAAATTAACATTCTCACTTTATTTTGGGCATCAAAAACAACTACATATGTCATTATGACCACAAAAAATTTCATCTCAGGAGTCATATGTGCCTTGGCCTTAAAAATTATGTGCTTACTATTATGAAACAATCCTGTTTCTCATCCCAGATTCAGAATGCCTAAGAAATAATTTTTAGTGTAAAAGTATCATTCCAATTAAGTCATTAAAAATAATTCCCTTTATTTTTGAAAATATTCCCTTTTATTTTTCAAAGGTATGTGATTTCCAATAGGAGTTTTTGGAGTAAATTTGCTTTTTAAAGTTCAACAAAGTTAAGTCTCCATTCATTTGATATGTGACATGTAATTCCCTTTCTTTTTTTTTTTTTTTTTTATATATACCGAAATGCTGCACTAATCTTTGGTTTCATAAAACCAGGTTTCACATTATAATTTGTTTCCTTTGTCAAATACAGTAATTAATAAATGTATACTGCCTGATTTTACATGTATATGTGCCATTTTCATATGTGCACATAATCAGATTAAGAGAAACTGACCTCTAAACTTTAAAATATCCAGAAAAGGTACCTTTTTCTGCTACCATTCTAATTCATATTTAAGTCCCTTATCACTTGATTAACTAAAGTTCCCTTTAAAAAAAATTGTGTAGGCATGAATGAAGCAGCTTAGCAAAACAGTAACACTGACAAGACATCATCTTACACCATTAACTAACATGGACATGAAGGGAGTGACCATCTACAGTGTGTGAAATGCCACAAGAAGTCATCAAGGGAGGAGAGTTATGTCAGTCCAATTTCTTCAAGAACACTACGTGGGGTTTCAGCTTCCTGTGGAGGGAAAATGTGAGACTCTGGTAAGCAGATCCAGGGAGTCTTGGAATGTGAAAAATTGACACGGAGAACATGCTTGTTTTAGAGAATCAAGAAAGCAATTTCGTGTCACAGTAGTATTCTAATAGTGGCAGCCAGTGGTTAGTTAGGGTTTTGTGCCCCAAACATTGGAGACCACTAAAGGATGATTTCAGCATTCATTAAGTCCCTGCTAATTACCTACCAACATGTTTCGGCATTCATTAAATACCTGCTAATTACCTACCAATGTGCTGGGTGCCCTTGCTGTAAGGCAAAAAGCACTCAAGCCCAGTGCAAGCCTGCTGGCAAATTATGAAATCACTGCTATTCAGTTATATCTATGAAAGGTAAGTTATCTTCATGGTAAAATTCAAAACCTCTTCCCTCTGTGTTCCCACAATTCTTCACCTAACGTGCCATGCGTTCTGTCACATGCATTTATAGAAATGTCTTCCTCTTGGAGATTTTCGTTAACTGTGTCCACAGCAGCATGTCTTCAGAAACAGCTATCTTTCCAGACCTCCCCAGGGCAACCAATGGCCTCACTAGAGGCCACATACAGAAAGAATACCCTGGGACAAAGGCATTTTTGTTCTGTGTAGCAACCAATACTGGTTTTTAAATGTCAAAGGAGGTCAAAACAAACCAGGCATATCCAGAAAAAAATTAGTTAAAAAATTTCCAAAGTGGCTGATTTTGCAAATCACAAAATAAAGGACCAAGGAGGCCAACTTTCAGGTATTACTAGCAACGAATTTTGTAATTAAAAGGCAACACCGTCTTTTAATGAGGGAAAATAATATAAATTTTTGGTGTCCAGTAATAAACTTACTTTTGCATCCTAATCATGGTACAGCACAAAACAAGAAGAGAAATTATATTAAACCATAAATCTTTAGAATATTAATTGCATGTAAAGCACTTCATGGTGTAATCTAAGTAAATTAAACTCTATTGTCTGTTTCCTTATTTGGAAAATATGGGTAATAGCACTTACCTTCATATGTTGAGATTAAGTGAGTTAAGGCTCTGCCTAATTTATAGAAAGTGCTCCAAAAATGTTAGGTGATATAGTTAAACACTTGAAATCTAAATGAAGGTATTTAGCATTTAGTACTAAATGCAAGTACTATAAACCAATTCTATTTATAAAGCTCATGACCTTTTAGTATGTCTGCGTAGTAATGAAAAATGGGTAAAAATTAGCTTTAGTGAAAAAAGGTATTTTTTTTAAAAAGAGTCTAACCTATGAAGTATTCTTGCCCCCTCAAATTGAACCTCAATCTAATCAGGTTACAGATCTAAATAGAGATGAGGGATAAAAGAACAAGCTAAATATTGCCACATGAATACAATGGCCAAATCCATAGGGTACGATGTTCTACAGCATAAATAACCTGGTTTAAAAAAAATGGCAAGGGGGGGAAAAAGCAGAAGACTTGTTAAAGATTAAAAGAGACTTAAAAGACACATCAGCCAGATACAACGTGAGAGTCTTGGTTGGAAACTGATTCTAACAAATCAAATATAAAAAGGCATTTTTTAGACAATTAGGAAAAACTGAGCCAGGCACAAGATGTTAATTATTAATTGCTGTTAATTTTGTTCGGTGTGGTACATATCTGTTAGGGACACATACTGAAATATTAAAGACAAAATGACAGAATGTCTAGGGCTTGCTCTAAAATACTGAGGCAAAAATGGGGGAAGTGTTTGGGGAAACAGTATTTGACATCTAAATCACATAAACATTAAAGAAAAATTTAAAATAATTATTTCCATGTAATGTTAAATAGTTTAAAAGTTCATGTGGCCTTTAATGTATTAAAGGATGCCTACATTGAATTCTACACAGTTTACATACTCAGCTTATCCATGTAAAAATGTCCCACAACTACTGCTTGGAGCTGGTCAGACTTTTCCCCATGTGCTCACTGCCTGCAATCTTATATAGCATTTCCTGAAGACAATCATATTGCTTATCAAACATGCATTATTGAAAATATTTGTCCTTTCTAAAAGGCCTAGTTTCAAAGAATTCTTTTTTTTTTTTTTGAGACGGAGTTTCGCTCTTATTACCCAGGCTGGAGTGCAATGGCGCGATCTCGGCTCACCGCAACCTCCATCTCCTGGGTTCAGGCAATTCTCCTGCCTCAGCCTCCTGAGTAGCTGGGATTACAGGCACGCACCACCATGCCCAGCTAATTTTTTGTATTTTTAGTAGAGACGGGGTTTCACCATGTTGACCAGGATGGTCTCGATCTGTTGACCTCCTGATCCACCCGCCTCGGCCTCCCAAAGTGCTGGGATTACAGGCTTGAGCCACCACGCCCGGCCTCAAAGAATTCTTTACACATTTTATTCTTGTGAGACTTGTACAGAGAGTTTAAAAATAAAATGTGTTGATAATATAAAATGGAACTTTCATATATTCACACTGAAACTGTAGCTCAAAATTAGCCAGAAAAGCTATTATCTAAAGTAGTAAAATTTATAGAAACAAAAAGTCAAATGGTGGTTACCAGGGGCTGAGGGAGAGGGAGAAATGGGGAATTGTTGATTAATGGGTATAGAGTTTCAGTTTTGCAAGACAAAAAAGTTCTGGAGATCTGCTGCACAACAATGTGAATATACTTAACACAACCGAACTGTACACTTAAAACTGCATAAGATGGTGAATTCTGTGTTATGTGTTTTTAACCACAATTTTTAAAATTTGCCTGGAAAAATGAAAATATAACAAGTTATGAGGGATGCAGAAGAAAAAAGTCATTCACATGAGACGAAGTACATGCAATACTTTTATTTTAGACATGCAAGGAAAGTTATTTCAGAATCTACTAATTTAAAGCAAGCAGCTGTATACAGATAGCAAAAGAAGCAACATTTTGTTACAGCTTAGCACAAGGCATCCAACACAAACAGGCATGAGACAATGTATATTTATGTAGCATTAAAACCAGATGAATAACATATTGTGGGGCAGGAGGAGGAATGGAGGGGAAAAATGGAAATGAAAGACCAATGTGTTTCAATGCTTCCAATGTATGGTGCTAAATTTCCCATTTGATTGCACATCCAGGTGCTTCAAATGTAGTGCATTACAGTGAGAATGTTAAGAATGGAAAATCTTATCTGTATACCTGCCTAATGCTAAGTGTGATCAAAATAGATTTTCATACATCTTCTTCAGTGGTAAATCAGTTTGAACATCTTGTGAAGTTATTGTTTAATAACTTACTTAACTCAGGCTTTACGCTCTCTAGATATAAACAATGAATTGTTTTCCTTTTGTAATAAAATATGCTGCATGTTTTATTAAAAGAATATGCAATAGTTATCAATATTAAAGGTTTTAAAATTCAGAAATATAATGCCACAGTTAACAAAGCATTAAGTATTTAAACAAGGACTTAATATATTAGAATGCCATCACTAGTAAAATATAAGTATTTAGGTATTAAAACTGACTATTAAAATTTTTGAACTATATAAACTCAGCATTAATGCTTTGAAAGAGTTGTTAAGCAACAGATACTGCAGAACAGACTTTTCAGACATAGCTCTCTAATAAGTTCTTAAAGGGATTGTTTGATATTATACAGCACAAGTGTGATTCAATAAATGTAGCACTACAAAATTTGCTAAGACTGAATGTTTTAACCTTGAATATATAATAGCACAAATTAATTTTAGTTTCTTGTATTTTCACATTTACTTTTATGTGATACATTAGAACACATTAGCTCATACAGATTGTAAGATATTCACACAAAATAGTTTCTTTTTTTAACCTCAATATTTGAAGACCAAACCATACTATGTATTACGGTACTGCTCATTTTGACCTAGCACTTCAGCTACATTATCTTTGGTAAATATTTTAATGATTGTCATGTTTTCCTCTTGTAAGATTAATCATAGGTGGTTCATTAATGATAATATGTATGTGTTTAAGATTTAATATTACTCAAAACACTACTAGGTCATATTTTATCAAGATGAGATTAAAACAGTTTCAGAGAGGAATCAGCTGTATCAAGATCACATATAGAATGAAAATAAAACTGAAAAGTTTGGAATGTGAACAGGAAAAAAATACAATCATAAAAGTACTAGTTCTGAAATATTCTATATAATTATACAAGATAATAAATCACCATGCTGAGGATATTTTCTTTCATATGTATATCAGCATTCTATTTCCTCTGTGAAATTCTGCATACTTGATGGGTAGTCATTTAGTACACAGGGACATTAAAATATTCATGACGTGGCTACAAAAGAAATGCATATATTCTTACACACAGTATACAAACTGACATAGACACAATCAGATTTCTAGAACATAACTAAAACTTAAGTTTCTGTTTGTTTTTGTTCTTTGGTGTAAGGCTGAATATATAACTTCTAAACAGTGCCCAAGAATTTAGATTCATTTTTTTCTAACTTTCCTATATATAGTGGTCAAAAGGATCACTGACATCCTCCAAAATTTCTACAAAATCCTAATACACTATATTTACTACTAATACTATGAAAAGATTTTCAGTGTAAGTCATCTGGTCAATAATGAGTTGACCAAAAATTCAATTAGAATATTCCCCTTCCACCAGTGTTTAAATTCATCAAAATTTTATTACATGAACTAAAGAACCTAGAGAAAAATCCTTCCCAATAAAGAGTGGAAAAGTAGTCACTCAGCTGGTATTTTAAGTAGCAATGAAGATTTTTAACAGTTTACTTATAGCTACAAAAGCAAAAAATCCAAAGAATGTGACTAAGACTGAGGATATTACTTTTTTAAAAACCCTCAAGACAGATTTTAACAAACTCTCCAAACAGATTTGAGTGTCTACAGAAGGACTTCTAGGGGCTCCAAGAATTCTCTGAAATTAGAAACAAAATGATGTACAAATGTTCCTGGGGAGAGGGCACATCACCCTTCAGGCTCTCAAACGGATTATATCCCCCCCAGAAAGCAATTTTAAAATTGCTTATTTGAGTGTCTTTAAAGTATCCTCTTTTTAATATTTATTCAAGTTGAAGCTTTGAAATGTTGAACTACAAAATCATGTAAACAGTTTCAAAAAAAAATCTAACAAATCCCTAAACTTACACACCCATTAAATACAAAAGTATCTGAAGACAAAAGCCAGTTACATTTTAATCCTCAAAGAATTCCTAAATATTTTAAAGAGATAGCTTCCCTTTCCTCCCCACTCAGAATAGATTATAGTGGAATGAAGCAGAAAGTTAAAATCATATTAATAAGAAATTAAACTCCCAACTACTTCATTTTCTTATAGAAGCTCTCACTTTCATAGGGAAATTCTTCTGTATCAATGGCATTAGTGATTCACAGTATTTAATGAATGCTTTTTGTGTCAATGAACCTCTGAACCTATTTCCATATTCTGTGTAAAAAATAAATTGTAATCCCCAATAATGGATAATTATCCAAGTAAAATTCCCTATGAAAATATCAGTTTAATGAAGTAATTGGGACTATCCCTTGGGACTTAATGTAATTAGACTTTTCAGGTAATGCCAAAATGTAAATAACAAACTTGACAAAATTGTAATTACAAACTGAATTTATATATCCTACTACATTTTGATGCATGTCAGTACTCCGGCACGTATTCTAGTACGCTTTCTTATACCCCATGAAACTCTTGCTGTGATACATAGTCTCTGTTTTCTGGAGAAAGAACAAGAAAAGTTTAAGTCTGTCAAATGACCTTTTCCTAAATAATACCAACCTGTCAAATAGCCTTTTGCCTAAATAATACCAGTTCTTTGAGCCTTTATATTATAGTTTTTCATCTTTTTATTTTCTCTCTTAATTTTCTATCATGCCATGTAAAAACCAACCATCTAGAGCTTATGCTCGTTAAAAGAAAAGAGGTGGTTTCCCAAATAGAGTTGAATATGCAACCATTCCTCCCCAGGAGACTTCCTATGAACTACACCAACAATTATACAGGAACAATTCTCAACATGACCACCCAGGCATTTCCACCACTTATACGCTGACACACTTTTTACTACTTTCAGGAAAGAAAAGGGCTGATGATAAGCCAAACTATTCTTTACAGCCAATGATCCATATTACTATACTTAAATAAGAAATTAGCATCTATTAATTGTGAGAATACTCTTCATAGGGAGAAACCTTTCTTCATTGGAAAAACATCCTTCAAGAAGAAAAGAAACTCTAAAATGCACCAAAATAAATGTATTATTTTTACCATTTTTAAGTCGTTTTAACAACGTTTTAAATAATCTCCCACTTTAGACTACTAGGGTCAGAAAAAGTTCTGTTATAAATGCCTTAAGGACCACTTAACATTTGAGGTAATTTTTTAGCTAAGTGATATGCCCATAATTAGCCAAAATATTTTCCTCTCAGATACAAAGAAAGTAGATTGAATTACAAACTCCAGTTTATAACTGAATCTCTCTCTTACCACCAGTACCTCTTGTGAGTCACATAAAAATTATATCAATTAGGAATTAGGGAGGGTGAGAGTAAAGTCTGTCATAGCACACAAGAGATCCTGTGCAGGCCTAAACCTACTATCTTGTTCTTCCCCTGGGTACCTGTACGAAACAGTCACATATAATACTTAGCAAACTATCAGTTTCTTAAAACACTAAAACCCCAGTGATTTCAGTTAAGTGGTAATAAAGGCCACAATGAAAACAATGAGAAAAAAATTTTTTAATCCAGTTGTATTATATAACTATAAACCACATATTGTCCTTAGTACAGATTCTCTGGAGACCTATTCTTTGAATAAAGATGACAATGCGTTATTTCAACCTGAAACGGGCCTTCAATCCCAGGAACTCTTTTTTACTCCTCATTAATTTGCTTCTCACTAAGTCTACTGCCAACTCCTCACACGATCCTCAAGCTATATACACTCCTCCCCTTCTTCCCAGTCCCAACGATTCTCCTATAGATGATGTCATTTCTCAAGACTAAGAAAATGACATGTTCTCAATTTTGCTCATCTTACTGATAAAGAAAAAAAAGTCTATAGCTTTACCCATTATCACCTCATAACCAAGGAGAAAGACTCTTCTCATTCAAGACCAATGTTTTTGATTCCACTCCCATTCTCCCTTCCAATATACTTTTTTTTTTTTCGAGACGGAGTCTCATTCTGTCACCCAGGCTAGAGTGCAGTGGTGCGATCTCAGCTCACTGCAACCTCTGCCTCCCGGGTTCAAGCAATTCTCCTGCCTTAGCCTCCTTTGTAGCTGGGATTATAGGCACCTGCCGCCACTGCACCCAGCTAATTTTTTTTTTTTTTTTTTTTTAGCAGAGAGGGGTTTCATAATCTTGGCCAGGCTGGTGTCAAACTCCTGACCTCATCCGCCTCAGCCTCCCAAAGTGGTGGAATTACAGGTGTGAGCCACCACACCTGGCTCTAATATACTTTTTCTTCCCCCCTCCCCACCCATGCCAAGAGACAGAGTCTTGCTCTGTCACCCAGGCTGGAGTGCAGTGGCACTATCTTGGCTCACTGCAACCTCTGCCTACCCGGTTCAAGTAATTCTCCTGCCTCAGCCTTCCAAGTAGGTGGGATTACAGACGCGCACCACCATGCCTGGCTAATTTTTATATTTTTAGTAGAGACGGGGTTTCACCATGTTGGCCAGGCTGGTCTTGAACTCCTGACCTTGTGATCTGCCTGCCTCAGCCTCCCAAAGTGCTGGGGTTACAGGCGTGAGCCACTGCACCCAGCCCCAATATACTTTTTCTTTTACTCTATTCCTCTTTGTCCTTCTTAGAAAACATGCACTTCCACTTTCTCCTGCATGAAGAAAAATGTTGTTCTCAAAACCCTACAAAAAGGACCAGATGTAGTGGGAAGTGTAGCATGACAATTAAACAGCAGAGAGAAGTCAAGTTACATCTGTTCTCAAAACCTAAGACAAGCCCTGTTACCAAGAAATTTCCTAGATATTCACCATACTAGGCTTTGACTCAAGTAAAACCAACCGGGAGGCTATAACCAACACTGATAAAGTAGCAATTATCTGCAGGCTTAAGTCTTGTTGACATGAGAAGTGCTTAAGTAAACCAGTAATATTGAATATCCATGACTCAATGCCTAGACTACTGATTCTCTTTCTAGTAGTATAATGTAGTAAAAGAAAATAATTTACATTTAATGAAAAGTAAATATAAATAAGTGTAATTTCAAGTTATTGCTCTATTGTAGTTTTTCTTATAAAGGGACTTTTTGACTTATTCCTTGCACGATAAAGTGGTATGCTTCATCCTTCATATTCTAGAACACAATGGTCCTTTTTATTGCCCCTAATCGAATTCCATGGCAAAAGATGCAAAGTCCTTACTCTCAACTCTGGAACTCCCTTTCTTGTGTCAAAGACCAAGATGGCCAGAGAGTATCTAAGTTCACTAAAATCGATTTTGAGCAATAAATGAAAAAAGAAAAGAATTGAAAGCACTCTATAAGGTGACTTTTAGATGACAAGGATCCTGGTGTCAGTCTTATCTCACAAGCATTTGTGAAGTGCTAAGAAAGTCGAGAGATTTTTTTTTTTTTACATTAAGTTAGCAATGAGTGGCAAGAGCTACATGGTTGCTCCAGATGGTTAGTGTCTAAAATGGCCAAGACCAGACAAGTGCTTTACTTTACGTGCTGAAACTTTATTTTAGTAAATTCTACTCTACTTTTACCATCTGGGGCAACACGATGTACACTCTTTCATTCACACAGTAGCATTTTTCCATTTTTAAAAAATGTATAATACTAAATACATGCTTGTTTTTACACTGGTATAAAAAGGGAAGGGGGAACTTTAAACATTTTCAGAGGTAACACAAGTTGGCTAATATCCTGGTCCTAAGCCTGGGCAACATGGTGAAACCCTGTTTCTACAAAAAATAAAAAAATTATTCACTAGATGTGGTGGCATCTGCCTGTAGTCCCAGGAACGGAGGGGGCTATGATGGGAGGTTTGTTTGAGCCCAGGAAGTCGAGGTTGCAGAAAGCTGAGGCTGTAGTGAGCCACTATCATGCCACTGCATTCCAGCCTGGGTGAAGGAGCAAGAAGCTGTCTAAAAAAAATAATAAAATTAAATTTAAAAAAATAATAATAATAATAATAATACCCTGTCCTAGATCTTTTCTTGGATATACTTGGAGTATCCTTCCATATCATTGCAAAAAAAAAAAAAAAAAAGAATCTCATTTCTTTTACAGCTACATCAGTTTCATGTATAGTTGTGGTATAATTTTTTTAACCTGTTTCTCACTGATGACTATTTGGTTAAGCTTCAATGGTTTATTATACTAAACAATGTGTCTCAGTACATTTTTGTTGAATACAATTCCTTAAAGTGTAACTAATGGGTCAAAAGGTATGTACACATTTCATCATTAGCAGATATAACCGAACTAATCCTCCAAAAGAAAATACAACTTTAAGTGCTCATTTTTGCCAATCCAAGAAGAAACAAACAAACAAAAAAGGGTCTAGTGGATTTTTTAAATTTATTTATTTATTTATTTTTTAAGACGGAGTTTCGCTCTTGTTACCCAGGCTGGAGTGCATGGCGCGATCTCGGCTCACCGCAACCTTTGCCTCCTGGGTTCAGGCAATTCTCCTGCCTCAGCCTCCCGAGTAGCTGGGATTACAGGCACGCGCCACCATGCCCAGTTATTTTTTTGTATTTTTACTAGAGATGGGGTTTCACCATGTTGACCAGAATGGTCTTGATCTCTTGACCTTGTGATCCACCCACCTCGGCCTCCCAAAGTGCTGGGATTACAGGCATGAGCCACCGCACCTGGCGGGGTCTAGTTGATTTTTAAATTTACATTTCCTTAATAAAAGGACCATTTGTTTTGCTTTCATCTGTGAATTATATCTTCATGTCTTCTGCTGTCTTTTTCTATTGTGCTATTGATCTATTTCTATTACATTTGTCTTATAAATTTGTCTTAAAAATAATGAGGATAATTTACTACATCTTATAAACTATGCTCTAAAACCCATTAGTTATCAAATACTAAGGACAAATTACTTTATCTAGCTATTAATTGTGCTTTTAAAATAAAAAAGCAGAGGCCAGGTGCTCACATCTGTAATCCCAGTACTTTGGGAGGCCAAGGTGGGAGGATTGCATGAACCCAGGAGTTTGAGACCAGTCTTTGCAACATGGCAAGACCTCAATTCTACCGAAAATTTTTTAAAAATTAGCTGGGCGTGGTGATGTGCACCTGTAATCCCAGCTAGTCAGGAGGCTGAAGTGGGAGGATCATTTGAGCCCAGGAGTTCAAGGCTGTAGTGAGCCATGGTGGCACCACTGCACTCCAGCCTGGGTGACAGAGTGAGACGCTGTCTCAAAACAAACTATACAAACAAAAAAAGCAGAATAATTAACTTAGCAAATATAATTTATGAGTGAGGGATCTCACTATATTTCCCAGGCTGGTCTTAAACTTCTGAGCTCAAGGGATCCTTCCGCTTCAACCTTCCAAGTAACTGGGATTACAGAACTGCGGCATTGTGCCCAGCTAGCAAATATAATTTTAGACTGCAAAGAAATATTTTAAGTATGTTTTAGGACATGCTGTATTGTATTTGCCTTGGAATACCCTAAATTTAATCAAGGTTTTCTAAAGGTAAAAGATTTCTTAGAATCACAGAATTTCA